TTTCTTGCACCTTTAGCGTGTTTAGTTTAGAAAGAACTTAACAAAATATTAAGTACTTTATTTAGAAAAAGTCTAGCAACTGCCATAGTGCGGCCCTGATATAGGGAGGCAAATATCCGTATAGTAGCTCTTTAATCCTTTTTGGCTGTTTGGAATTGGTCAAATTTTACAGAAAGTAAACTTCCTGCTGGTGCCAGGGACATCATTGGAACCATCTACTTCTTGAGAAAGATGGGACACTTCTTGCACACCGGCCTGAGTAAAATGTGTCCCTCTAGGAAATCAGAGGCACCGCCTACATCTAGATTCTAGGTCTGCTCTAGAAATATGGAAAATGCCTAAGTACATGTAAGTGCGGTACTGGGATTCTTATGAACTCTAGCAAACATAGAAATATTTTACTAGTTAACTTAGTACACATTTCCCCATGCATACTTCACCTCAGCGTGTGTTTTTTACGAGTTTAGCTTGATCTGCTTTCCAGACATTGTAAGCTAAATTGGAGATGAAAAGTTCCTGCTAAATGGTGAGTGGTTCTGTGTTGGGATTACAAACATGTAATTGGTTAATTTCTCTGATGTAGGCAAGGTCTATATTTTTCATCCTCACCGTTGTAGACACAAAGCTGAAAACGATGTAAAGGCTCAAATACTGGAAAGCTACTTCTAAGTTTGTGACTGTGGGAGTAGGAGAGAGAGATCACTTTATAGGACTTAATGTATCTTTTGAGCTTCTCTGGGTAGATACAAAGAAACGCAGTTTTGAAACATAGTAAAGAGAAATTACACATGTTGGGGAAGGATCAGGCTGCTAATCCAGATTTGAAGTTTATTGTGTAGCTTCGTGGGCCTGCAGGTATAATGTTTCACATGGAGAAAATCTTAAAATACCATTTAACAGTTAATACTTGGCATGCATTGCAGTCCTTGGAGATGTATCACACACTTTGCTGTTTAGCACAGCATTTATTTCTGAACAAAGTTAATTAAAGAATGGAAAATATATGGTTACATCGTCAGGTTATGTAATCTAACATCTAACACTAAGGTAGGATTAGCAATGCTAAGGTCATGTATGGTAGATTTTTTTTTTTCCCCTCTAATCTTATTTTATAAGCTTCCACATGAGAAAACTTGACTGTCAAAATATCCTGTTCTAAAATTTAATTACAGTTAATATTGCAACGATTAATATTACCAGCGTGATGCCTGATGGATTTGGTACAGTTGCTTCTCTGTTTGGAGAGTGGGATGGGATAAATAAGTCTTTTAAACCTATTTTTTTGTGAGTAAACACACCATGACAAGCAGAATAATTCTCTGTATATTATCTATGTTGCTTTTCTTAGGAGTTGAAGATGTAAAGTTTTCTTTTTTGCTGCGTGATGTTTCATATTTAGCAGTGGCTTACTTTCAGTGCTTTTTTGGTTGTACTGTTCTCTAGCTAATTGTACATCATCTTAAGTTTCTGCACGTTTTTTGTCTAAAATGCACAACTTTCTTTGGTCTGTATCAAATTTCCTTTTTGTTGGTGTCAGACCATTTCATCGGGTAATCAGGATGACTTTGAAGTTTGAGTCTCTCTGAATAGTTTGCAACCATTATGGTGTTGTCTACAAATCTTGTAAATTCATTAACTCCTCTGTCATCCAAATTGAAATTATTGAATGGACGTGGGTCGTACCAGTCCTGTCCCAGTTGGTCAGGTCATAGTATATTTTAGAGTCCCACAAAATATATTCCCAATTTTGCAACAAACCCTGATCAGCACATTTTAATTATATATATACAAATATAAAATTTATTATTAATATTTATAAATAACTACACCCATATTTTTGTAACTAAAAGTACATTACATCTCTTTGTTTTGCTTATGAGATTGTCAGGTAACATGGTGCCAGAAGCCTGCACATCAATCTTTATTTTTTATTGATTATACTTCTGTTTTTTCCCAAAACTTCAATGACTTTTTGAAGATAATTCCAAAGGGCTAATGAATGAGTAAACTCCATTAGTGTGTCTTAAATATAATACACCTTAATGCTTCCTGAAATTAGTTAGCTCATTCCTTCCTATTCTCACCTACACCCCCATCACCTTGTTAAAATTTAGTCATGGTAAAATGGTTAAAATCTACATAGTATGCTTGCAATTAACATTTTTTAAAGATAAACAATATATGATCTATATTTAAAAAAAAAAAATCATCTTGTGTTTAGAAGCCTTTCTTGCAGCCTCTTTATGTGACATCCTGACTGAAATGGGTAACATGGCCCTCTTGATTTTTATCTTTCCTTTTTTTTTATTGTGTGTTCTTTCTCAACTTTTGAAAATTAAAGAATTGCACAAGGTGGTCAAAGATTCCTGATGCATGGTTAACTGCTTAATTTTGTTAGCTGCTTTTTCTGGGGAGATTGTGCCATTAGTCATGTATGGCATTCTTCTGTCCTTCACTTGATTGTCTGAAATCAAACCTGATACAGTGTCCCTTAATTTGTTAAGTTTGCCCTTTTTTTCTTTTTTGGAAGCTGTCTTTCTGGTCTGCTCTATCTTTCATCTTTTAGAATAGTGAGCTCTTAACCTTTTTTTTTTTTTTTTTTTCTCCTAAGTTTTGTGTTCTTAGTTGATTTGTAGCGCTAAGAACCAAATTCAAGACAGTATGTGCCTGAAGCTTCATCCAGCTTCTGCAGCCGCAGTTACTTTTAATAAATTCTTACTATGAGATTGGCTTAGCATTACACAGTGCCTTAAGTCATGCTAAAAGTGTAATTTATTCAAATGCTGAAAGCCTACAGATGATAAGGTACACCTCAGTGCCTTATGCTAGGCACTTTATTTCAGATTTATAATGGTAATTTAGGTGGATGCCAGTGGAAATTTGAGTTTCTCAGGCTGTTTTATATTCATACTGTTTTCCTCTGTGTGTCTAAAACTGAAGCTTGGACTTCCATGTTGACATTCCTTAAAATGTATAAATTAATGGCAACACCAGTACCATATTTGATAATAAAAATGCCCAATTCTGCTAATCTTTCAGAAGGTTCAGTTAGTGTATAAAAATCACATTTCATGTAAGAATGTATACAGTGTGTAACTGTAGCAGTTCATATAGTGTAATACTGTAAACTTAAGTTTTCAACAGCTTTATGCTACATGCTAAGCAGGGAGAGTTTAGTAACAAATGTTTAAGAAGCTTAGAGTCCTCTCATACTGTTAACTAGCATTTGTTGAGCATACACACACATTTTTCTCTTCATACTTAATGTGATGGAGCTATGCAAGTGCCTTAAAATGTTTGTGACTTGGTATGTGGAGAATCTTACAAAGATGGCTTGGTTAAAACACTGCAGCACTTAAGCTAAGAAGCATAGATATCAATTAGTTTATGATTACAGGTGTGCTGTGTGGCATAAGATCTAATTCAATAACTTGCAAAATACTGTAAAATGAACAGATTTTTATAGAAAAAGACATTTCAATTCTAATCTGAAGCACAGGTGTTTAGTCCACTTGTGCTTTGATGATTAATGGAAATCAAAGTGTGAATTTCTGTGTTAAAAAGGCAGTAACTCCTGTTTTGCTGCTTGCTTCCAAAACATTTTTTTCCAACCTGAAGTACTTAGAAAAGCTTTCAAGTAGCTTTTCTTAATGGGTATATAAGAGTGGATGATATAATTTTTTAATCTATATCTTTAAGAAAAATATTGATCAAGAACTTGCAACCATTACAGTTTCATTCTTACAGCGATCTAGTGGCTAGCTCATAGTTGCATATTGCTATTTGTGTTACTAAAGAGTTTATCTAAATTGTAGACATCTCATTTGGTGGTTACAACAAGACTGCATCAATAAAAAGTGCCACCATTACTGCATAGGACTCCTAGAGCACCTGTAACAGCAAGGAGAAGAGCAACTAGTTGTGTGGTTTTTTGTTTGTTTGTTTGTTGGTTTTTTGTTTGTTTGTTTGTTGGTTTTTTGTTTGTTTGTTTGTTTTTTAAAACTAGTCTAAAGACCTTGCAGAAATTTATTTGAAGAGCTGTCTAGAGAGTTAGAGATGAGGGACAGCAATTTCACAAGTTGCTGAATCTTCTTTTTGCCATCCAGCATACATTGCTTCCTTTGTATAGGATTTTAGAGGAAGATAGTCTGGTTTACTTCACACAGTTGTCAGGACAATCAAGAATGCACTTCTGAAAATGCTTGTATGTAATGTTAATTTTAACTGCACAGGCTGTTCACAATCCTGCTATGGCACAAATACTATTTTTACTGTTTTCTTATTTTTATGTACATCAGCTTGTTCCTATTTTTTCTTTTTAAAAAAGGCAAACTCGTACTGTTTGGCTAGAAGTAAGAATACTTTCTCATTATATTTCTTCTTGTTGTCATACTTTATTTTGAGAAAATCAATAGTTAAATGCAGTGTTGATGTTTGATTTATATCACGGGATGGCTGCTTCATGCTCATTAATGTTAATTCAGCAGAATGGGGAATGATCCCGTTGTTATTTAAGCCATTGTTGTCTAAACCACTGGCCTCTGGATTAGTTCTTATGTATTTAAATTGAAAATAAAGATATGATTTGCTGCCTTGATTTGCTGTGTTCTGAAAGAGATGTCAGGGTCTGTTCTTGGAGTGATTTTTCTAAAGTATGTGAGAGCTTTTGTGAGAAGCTGTAATGGCACAATAGACTTTTCTAGTGATTGGATGACTTAAAAACTTTTATTTTTGTGGGAGTAATATCTGAAGCATTTAACTCATGAGGTGAATCCGAGTGAAGAATCTCAGAAACAGTTGTCACTGTAAGAAAATATACATCACTATATATTTTTAAGTGAAGTCACTGAATCACCTCTATTTGTTTATATCAACATGGAATGTTTTTGACAAACTGTTCATCAGCAAGAAGTGCATTATCTTTTTGACATATGATGAGTGTAGTTGCAAAATGACTCACAGAAGTGTAATCTCTATTTTTTTGTTTGTTTTTATTTAAGCAGAAACACTATGTACCAGATAAGGTTCCTTACAGTTGCACCTCAACAGGAGGGAAGTGTTAAAGAAGAACCAATTTCAGAAATTCAAACCAGACGGGCCTGGCAGTTTGACTGGGCATTAAATAAATTGGATAACTCTGTCAGAAAAACTGGCCGCATCCCTAAAGCGCTTCTACTAAAAATCTTCCATGAAATATGCAAAACAGGTATGTTGCTTCCAATTAAAACAAAAGCTAAATTTAAAGCTGTAATATAGCAATTAATCAAATCAAGGAAATTAATTGAAAGAGTTCTGATTTATATTTTGACTTTGAATGTTCTTAATCTGCTGCATATGTTCAGACCTTAAATTCTTTAGAAATGTTATTTTGCTTTGAATGCATGCATTTACTCTTCCAGGTTTATTTATCTTTGGGTATTTATAAGTCTTGTAAAAATTTGGTGTACTTTTAAGAAATCTTACCATATTGCCTTGCTTATTGTGGATTTTTAATCTGGTAGTATTACACCTTACTCATATACCTGTATTGTACGCTCTGAACAGGGATCATATTTATCTGCTTTATACAGTATATTTTTAAAATGTCTGTAATTAACTATCCTATCTTTAAGAGTTTATTTTTTTAAAAATGGAACTATACAGGGAAGAGTGGAGGTGATCCCCAGGCTTCTGCATTCGCAGGTAGCTGTGATTATTCAGGACAAAAAAGCTTTATTTTTTTTGAATAAAACAAAAATAAACAGCTGAAGCATTGTTCCTTCTGACAGATTCAATACCCCTTTGGCTAAAAGTAGCCAGAGTACATTTTGCAAACCAGGTACCACAATGGATGAGATTTGGTACCAGTTAGGGTGAATCAGTGGAGATACTTGCTAAATATACTCACTCAGTACTACTGACAGTATTTATCAATGACAGCATGTATTGTTTTGTTTTAGTTTCAAACTTTGCTATATATTGCTCTGGACTGTTAATAGCTTGTATACCTAGGATTGCGCTTTTAAAAGTTTTGCAGTTCACTGCTTAAAAGCTTAGTTTTCAATTTATGTTCTTTTTCTGTCGAGCTTTTTAGTTTTTTCTTTTTGCTTGTGATATCCTTTCTGGTTCTGACTGCTTTGTCTTCTTTACTTATAAAACTCTAATTTTCAACTGTGCGTTAGCAAGAATTTTATGTCTCTAAGCTTATCTGCAAATCACAGTTCTTCATGATATTTAGTTAGACAGTCTTTAGGAAATCATATTAACAGAAAGATTAATAGCTTAAAGTGGTTTCCTTCAACTTTCTAAGTATATTTAAAAAAAAAAAAGTGTAGAACTTCGCAAGAGATTTAAGTAGGATGCTATTCAAATAAATGACAAATATTTCCATGAGAAAAATTCAATCCTTTTTTTATTATGAACATTGAAAATGGATTTAGTGAAAGTGTGGGAGTTTAGTTACTGTTGTTTTCCTAGAAAGATTTGCCCGTGTTCGTATTGTTCTTCGATTTCTAATTGCAACACGGAAAATGCCCAAAGAAGGTGCTTGCTGTAGATCTTGTCCTGCATCTTTCCATACTCATACTTCCAAATCTTTTCCTGTTTCTTTTGCCTTTCAAGGTACTCAGTCACTGATATAACACTGGCATTGTGAAATTGGACATGTGTTGGGGTTTTTATTGTACAAACTAATTGTATGCAGGGATTGAAAAGTTAGTCAAATATGACTTACCTCACCACTCCATTATGTCTTCAGAGGTTTGAATCCCCATTTGCAGTTTGTACCTGCCCCCTCTCACTCTTTTAACTTACTCTTTTTTTTTTTCCCTCAATATTATTCATTTTTTTTCCCCACTACAGCTGGTGTTTCCTCTTACATAAGTTTACTCTGTATAAGTAACTTCTCTGCTGTAGGTTGTGCTCTTGAAACATGATTTACAACAGTAATGTGGTATCCTAGATTTGCTGGTCCTTTTTGATAGCTGAAGATCTAATTCTAAATGGTATATAGCTTTCTACTGTTGAGGGTTTTTTTAGTTTATTTTGCCATTATTTCGGAGCTATATAGCGGTATCTACAGCTTTGTATAATTAAAAATTACACTTACAGTGAGCAGCAGCAGCTAGAGATACTTTTACTGGCAACGGTTCCTGCCTCTACACTGGGCTGTACACAACTTCAGAGTGCTGGCATGATGAATGGGAAGCAACTTACAAAACATTAGTGATGCTTTAGACTTCAAGTCATTGTGGAAGTCTGAATCTTTCAAGTCTGCATGTATGTCTCTGAGATAGAAAACTTTACATATTCTGTCATTATTTATGTTGTATGTGAACATTTGTCTTGCTTGTTGCTAGATGAAATTACTTCTGAAGTATACCTTTCTCTGTGATAGAAAAGAGACATTTTTGTGCTTTTTTTCTTAACAGTATGCTGCTTTATAAAGAAACTCTTATTTTTATTAGAAATTGCTGGGTTTGCATATAAAGATGTGATTGAAAAACATTTTTGTGTCTCCAGTTTATTGGGTAATGTGTGATAGATTCTGCAGCTCTGACTTACTTTGCCTCAGGAGTAGTAGTGAAGTCCAAGAAAGACAGATGAGTTTCTAGTTAGTTTTTTGACATTCTGGGACTAGTGTAGAAGTCAGAGAAGGTAGACATTCTTACAGTTTTCTCCACTATTCTCTAAATGTAAATTATCTTATTTATTTTATATTGAGCATGGGCAGAAAAATGTAACTGTAAATGTGGAATGTCTCTGAATACAAACTATGGAATACTGTGGAATTGGTATGAAATATTTTGCCATGTTAGAAATTTACCAGAAAGTTATGTCAGTGTTAGGATGAAATGATCTCTGGACCTTGCATTGGGAAATTGAAAGTGCTAGATAATCTGAGTTTAGTATTTTGTGGTTTATTTTTTAAAATTTCTGCTTAGCTGAGCTCTTTGTACTAAATGGAATGTTTTATTGTGAATCTTTTTCATGATAACATATAATAGTGCCATTGTTTAGTCATTTGGGTTTCCTGTTCAGTAAAAATCTTCAGTCTTGGAGAAGAATCTGTTTGATACAAAATGATTAACTATTTCAGTGAACCAGTGTTGAATCTTCTTTCTAATATTAAATGCATAACTATTTATAAAGGAATTCGTGGTTGTGTTACACTTGCAGGGGGTCCAGGAAGTAATCAGACCTTGCTTTTGTTACGAAGTTGTGGTGCTCTTTTACCAGAGGTATTGTCACCTGAAAGAACAGAACTTGCCCATATGATATGGGACAAGATGAAAGAACTGGGTAAGTTGATTTTGGTAGTGCCTCTTGCAAGAACAAGTATGTGCTTTAGTTGCTTTCTTTGTAACAGAAGACTGAACGTGTTTTAATTGCCTTTAAGTGTTAGGTTATAACAACAAATACTCATTACTGAATAAACGCTAGGTTTTGTTGTTCAGGTGAGAGATCTATTTCTTATTCTGGGAGTTATACTGACATCTAGGGGTATTCATAATAAATATAAAGATATTTTTTGGTAACATGCTTAAATTGGACTTTTGCTTGATTTTGATTATTGTAAGAATGCATTTTACTTCTCTGATTGACAGTACCTTGATATCTGGTGGACCTGAGTATTCCTAGTGCTGCCAGCTATTTTATCAGATAATTTTTTAATTTTTAGGTAGTCATTTTTCTGTAGATGTTGCATAGGTGAACTGCTGCTTGATAGCAATATTGCTGAATCTATAAAATAAGTTCAGCTGTACAGACTGGAATAGCATGCACATGAGCATTGAAGTTACTGTGCTCTTGTTACATTTTAGCCTTTTATAAACACAGATGCTGTTAAATAGATGTCTGATATTTCACAGGTGGATAAAAGGAAGCAGTCATGATTATATATAAAGTTCATAAAGAATAAAATTGATATGAATTTAATTACCTGAGAAAACTATAAAATCCTGTTGAGTTTAGAGAATCTACACTCAGTGACTGTGCTTGAAATATTTCTTTAGGTGCTGTGTATGATACAAGCCATTATAATGCTTTACTTAAAGTCTACCTTCAGAACGAGCACAAATTTTCTCCAATGGAATTTTTGTCCAGAATGGAGGAAGCTAATGTGCAGCCCAATCGGGTGGGTACTCTTTTATATCTTCTTTCTTAACAGTGGTATCTATTTATTGGATGGAAATCATTAACTTCCCATTTTTGTTTTCTGTAGGTTACATACCAAAGGTTGATTGATGCTTATTGCAGTGAGGGTGACATTGAAGGAGCAAGGTATTCTTTTGCATTTGTTTAAAGGAATCTCCACAAAATCTTTCTCATATTCCTTACTATTAATGTTAAAACTCATTTCAGTGTAATTCTTATAAACTGAGGAAAGGAAAGAGGAGGTTTTAGGTATATTTAAACCAAGCACTAAAGAGTAGTTTCTTAGACACATCTGCAGCCTACACAAACAAAATAGAAATAAGTGATAGACCAGTGTGTTCAAATCAAATTGTATTCAAGTTGCTGAGAAAATAACTTGTTTTGTCATTTCTAGAACCAGCGTGAAAAAGTGTGAGGTTATGAAGGCTTACTGCCTATGTAAGAAAATGGCTACTCGGAAAGGCGTTTGAGAACAAAGTGGACTAAGTAGCAAATAGTAGTAATTCTAGTTTTTGTTGTCATTGTTACGCAGCGCTTGCTGGATATCTGTCTACCATCTTAATTTTAGCAAGGTTAAGTTGCAATAGTGTGTTTTCTGGGCATGAGAAATAAGTAAAAAGGAAGATAAAAATAAAAAAAAAACCATCCCCATCCTTGTGTCTGTATATTTCAAAGTGATGAATACAATTCATCTGAAAAAATGAAGAGCAAATTATGAACATATTATGCAGCATCCCCAAATGTAATTGCTCAGTGACATCAGCATTTGGTTTTGCTTGATGATACAGTATATGTCCAGCGATAGCTCAGTTTATCTTTTCAAAGGAAAAAAGATATCTACTAATTCATTGTCTTGTACTTTGCAGTAAGATTCTTGGATTTATGAAGAGCAAAGATCTCCCAATCACCGAGGCAGTATTCAGTAGCCTTGTGAAAGGTCATGCAAGATCAGGGTAATGTTTAATACTTGTTTTCTTTTGTTTTCTTTAGTTTCACTACAGTATAGAGTGATACTGTACAGAAGAATTACGTGCTGCAGAATAGCGTGATGTTTTTGAATAATAATATATAGAAGATTGTCGTCTTATACCCTTTTGAAGCAAAACAGGGCCATTTAACAAAGGCAGATTTTTAGTGTCTGAAAATCTTGGATTTCAAGACGAATTCCTCTAGTTCTGTATTTTTTTGAACAAAATCTGCTGCACTTAGTTTTGGACTTATTCAACTGTTAAAGTTGAAAGAGTATTGAAGTAATACAATAAATAAAAGATTTACACTTTCACCTTTCTGGATTTGCTTACTTTAAAATAAGTTTATGCTTGTTGCAGTCTTTGTTTCCAATTCTAATTAATTTAATGAGGAAATGTGGAAGTCACAATAAACATTATTACGATTAAATCTATTGAGGGTCTTTCTTCTGAATACTTGTAGAGATATGAAGAGTGCAGAAAATATCCTTTCAGTGATGAGGATGGCTGGTGTTGAACCCGGTCCAGACACCTATTTATCCCTGCTGAATGTGTATGCTGAAAAGGGTGATGCTGATAGCATCAAAAAGGTATTTCAAGTTTCAGTTTAAATACAACTTGTTTGATCTTTTGTTCCATTTAACTTCAGAGTGCATTGTAACCATGCAGGAGGAATACTGAGTGTTGTAACTTGTTTCCTCCCAGTCTGCAGAAATATTTTTTTTTTTAATCTGAATAGCTGGTTAACTGAAAGTAGTCTCATACTTTATGAAAAATACTTGTCTGTTGATAGTTGTCTTTCACTGTGAGAAGATATGCTTGCCAGTGAGTGATTTAATAATTCTGTTTGGTTTTTTTTTAGAGGCAAATAGTGCATGTGAGATATTCATATCTTTATTTATAAAAATACATAAAAAGTAAATATTGATTATCCGGCTCCCATTGAGCCATTCTTTAGCTCCCATTGAAGCCACACAATCTTTACAGTAAAACTGAATTTTTCTTGAGAGTTCATACCAACAGCTTAAGTATTCATGAAGTGCGGATAAGATAATGCTGCCTTACAGCCCTTTGTGTAGTTGATTTTTTTCCACGTTTTTTTTTATTAAATCAAAGAAGTATTCTCAACGGAATGAGAAAAGAAAATTGGTTTGATTTTAATAAGTAGTATCAGATGGGGAAGACCAAATCAAGAAAGAGGATGTGGGAAGCATAATACTGTTCTGTGACTTGCAAATTAAACGTATCTTCATCAACCAACCTTCTTCCAAACTCTAGCAAAAAGTTTGATTAATCATTCTTCCTTTTTCAAAGTAATTTCTTCTGCAAGTCATCTCACAATGGGAATACCTCTGGTGTTCTCATATATTATTAGGTATTAGAGAGAAACTATCTGTTATATCCTTTTTATCTATCTCATTTTCTGTTTACAGTGAAAGGTGTTTGGGGCCCTCTCTATAAATCTTGGGTGTTCTCTCTACCATATTCCATATAAAAACCCATGGTTTTAAAAAAAGGGAAAAAGAAATCTACCCTTTATTTTTAAAGTATCCTGGTTTGAGTCACTTCAGAGTTTATATTAAAGTTAAATTTCTTCTGGTTTACAGACTCTAGAAGAGGTTGAGAAGACTGAAGGTTACCTTATGGATCGGATTTTGATGCAGGTGATTTTTAGCCTTGCTAAGGCTGGATATCCTCAGTACATTGAAGATATTAAAGAACACATAAAATTTGAAAGAGAATTAATTCCAGGTGTGTCATTGGTTACTACAGCAGTGTTCTGCTACTCAGGGTGGAGAGGGAAAGCATTTTCTTTCTTTCTTTCCCCCCCCCCCCCCCCAACAATAATTAATGTTACCAAAATTAGGTAATTTTATACTTTTCTCTTGAATACTTAGGGAACAATAGTATTTTTGCCATTAATTTCATGATTCATTTGTGCTGCTTTAGATCACATTTTGTCTAAGTCAAACCAATTTTCATCATTTATATACAAAAATCTATCAATTTTTTAAACTTCTGAAATTCATTAAGGTTTTATAGGAAAGCGGTAAGTGTGGAGCCCTTTATTCAAACAACACTGTTGTAATTCCTGTTGTGACAGCTTTTTGTGAATATCATAAAAAGGGACGCTAAACACTGAATGTAGTTTTCTTTATCTACAGTTAAAATCACTTTTGGATCTCGGTATGCGTAATCTGACTGATAACTGTTAATTATACTTCATTTTTTTGACGTGTCTAGAAATGAGTTTCTCTTATTTAGTATCCTTCTGTCATACTGCAGTGGTGATGCTTCTGTAATTTTTGGCGTGGTCTTCTGATGGGAGAAGTGAATTCCATTGATAAATATAAATAATTCTGAAAAAGGTAGTCTCAAATTTGATTGGTTAATCATGATTAAAAGTATGCTAATGATTCTTGTAAAATATCTACTTTCCTAGCTTTCAATAATTTTAGTAGCTTAATGTGAAAATGCTTATATGCACTCCTTTAATTTTGTTGTTCTCTGCTTTTCAATTGCTAGATGCAATGAACCTCTGTTTGAAACTGATAACTCATGGCTTCGAAGATATAAGTTTCCATATTTTGAAGTCTTTTAATCATTTATCACGTGATAATAAGGACCAGGGTAGCTTCTTCTTGCAACATTGTGTAAACAGAGATACGGTATGCAGAATAGTAATTATTTTTTCTTAATATACTAAAACCAGTATATTTATTTCATTTAATGCAACTATGAAGATGGGAAATGGTATATTTTTTGCATGGTTCTTAATGAATAAAAGAAGGATTTTAATATTTCATATCAATTTGCATAGTAAATTGAAAGTCACAAAGGAATCTTGTTTGGCATGTGTAATATCCATTTCCTAAACATTAGAAGAATGACATTCTTAATTTGAGAAATTGAAAAATATATTTAATTTTTCAAATTCTTTGCAGCCTTTGAACAAGCTGAAGCAATTCTGTAGTGAGTTAAAAGAAGCAAAAATGCACTCAGCACCATTAACATTTATTTTGCGTTGTGCTTTGGAGGCCAACAAATCAGGTACTCTGCTTGTTTAGTTATTTTACTTATGCTTATTTAAAGTACTTGGTCACTGTTTAATTATCTTGTGGATGTTTTCAGCCTTGGCCATTGATGTGATGAAGTTGATGAAAGAGGAAGGTTTGCCACTCAGACCTCACTATTCCTGGCCGCTGCTAGTTGCATTCCAGAAAGAGAAGAATCTTGAAGGTTAGTTATCTGATAAATGCTCTGTAGCTTTATTGCAGACCTAGTGCACAGATCCTTATTAGAACATTGTTGTGAGATTCAGCAGACTCTTGAAAGTAAATGAAGACCTTGCCTCATGTCTTGTTGCAAACAATTTTTCATTCAGAAAGACTTTTTTAAAACCTCCTTTCTTACTTAATCATGGTACGGTTCTACAAATTTAAATTCTACCTTTGCAAAGAAAAATGTGAGACTGTGTTTAGTTATCTTCTTAACTCTTCATATTCGTTCTGCCTTCCATTGGTTCTTTTCGCTGCTCATTACCTTTTACAGAGTTTACTCCTGAAGAAACTGAAATCAGAGAAGAATTTAAAAGTAAGGTTGTGTTATAATAGCTGTTTTGGACTGCAAACCTAATCCTTTTTTCAAGCCAACCTCTTATTGTATACCTGTTAAGTCAAATGTGAGTTTGGTTACAATAATAAAAACTGCAGAAGAACTTATGTTGCTGAATGTGTGAGCCTGACCTGACAGCATACTGATTGAAGGACAGAAATGCTCAATCTTTGGGGTTCTTAAGTAGGTTTAAGCATTTAGCATACTTTCCCCTGTTACACATGGGGATGTCTACAGGATTATGAATAAGAATTGAACAAATATTAAATTTTAGAGTACAGTATCTAATTCTTTGGTTTGCGTTATTGGTAATTCAGAAAGAATGGTATTGTAAAAAGATGCTTTTAACAGAAGTACTTCCCCCTTGGGGAAACAAAAAACTGTCTTTTTCATCTTATCTCACAGTATAATGTGCTTTAGAATGAGATGCAGAGTTGTTAGTGTGACACTGGGTGACAAACAAAATGCACAAACAAAAAAAAGTGCTTTTAGCAGACTCTTCATATCGCAATTTTATCTTAAATATACAGTCACATTCCAGTTCGGAAGAAATGCTGAAACAAGTATTCCCTAATTGTTTCTGGCTATAAAAATGTCTCAAGTCTTTTTCAAAAAGCCTTTGTGAAAACAATATTCAGTTTTTATTAACTCCTTAGGCTCTGTTCCTGCTAGACTACTTTGCAAGTTTATCTTATCTGGGGTTTTCAGATGCTTGAAAGTTCCATGATATTTAGAAGTCTAGCAATGTTGTTTTAGTTGTGTCCTTTGTGACTTACTTGAAGTACAATGTTGCCAAAAATAAATAAATTGAAATCAGTGTCATTCTTCCCTGTGTGGGTGCTGCCTACTGAAAGAACATGCTTTCTGTTACTCCATGGAAAATTTCACCTCACTAACACAATTATAAGAGATGTCAGAAGTAATCTTAGTTTTAGATATTCTCACATGGCTCACAAAACTGAAGCAGTATCTGACCGTCGAGAGAAACTTAAGTCTTCATATCTCTTTTGGTCTTTGGCAAGGTCAGAAGTTGCCTTAATTTGTTCTCCTACTGTAGAAATTGACTGTGCTTTGGCTAATAGTTCATGCTGGAAGTCATGTAAGCAAACTGAGAGGAAAACTGATGAGGGAACTATCAATTCTTTGACATTTTCTAGAGAGCCTTTCTGTCTGCAAAGGCACTGGATACATAAACTTCTGTGTGTCTGTATGATAATACAGTGAATTTGCAAACATGTTTTTGTAACCTGGTACTTAGTCTAAGAGTTTGAAATGTCAAATGGGAACATTACTACTGTGTGCATACCTACAAAAGTCAGTGATTTTGCATTTCTTAAAATACATAAGATATCCAAGAAATCTCTTCTGCAGTGAAGAATCAGTGGAATTATTCTTGCTGTTTTGAAACAAGTTGTCTTGCTTTTTCCCATGTGTAAGCTCACATTAATTTTTTGAAATTTAATAATAAAAAAATGAATAAATGAGATCCACTATCGAAAAATACAACTGATATGCTTGAAGGAAAGTAAACAGGGGGGGAAAACCCCACCCACCCTGAAATTGTTTCACAGAAATAATAGAGCAAAAAATAATGCTGCAGTGAGAACCTAAGAGTGACAGCAGAGAGTAAATGAACAGAATGTTGCTTTCTAGCAGCAAAAAAATAATAGAGCTGTGTGAACAAAAGTATAGATAGACGCTGTATCACATCCCAGTAATGAGGTAGTAATTCCTTTCTCTATGAAGTAGTAATCCTGGTCTATTGTGTGTAATTTTGCATCTCTGTATAGGTAAGGCTGAAAATTGTTAAGAACTTTGAGGAAAAACTATTAAAAATCTGATGCTATGTAGACAGTGCACTAAATAATCATTAAGGAACATGGACTATAAGCAGCTACCTATTTAGAATTGCAGGGTACAGATGTCTCAATTGGTACGTATAATATGACCCAAACATTTATATAACTACTAGCAATATTTAATTACACCTTTATCTAATGTTTATTATAACAAAAGCTGACACTGGATATGAAAGAAAATTTCTTAGCTTCTGTGTTACGGAATGGAGTTTGAAATAAAATTAGTCATGAAGTGGTGGCTAAGAGGAAGGAAACTAAGCAAGGCCGTTTTTAAATACCCTGTAGGGAACTTAACCACTCTGAAATACCAAACATCTCTCTTCAGTCATTTTACACAGACAAGACAAATAATTTCAGGTGGACATTCTTGTTTTCACGTGCATCTGTTACAAGTTGATAATTACTTACTTCCATAGTATTTATCTAAGGAAATGCTGTTAGGAATGGAAAATGCTTGCAGGGTTTGAAAGATCAATATGCAGTAGATCTGAAACTGTTATCGACACTGAGATTCATCTTGTATCAGATTGTAAACTAAAAATAGGAGGGCCTAGTATAAATAAGCAAAAATGTTTCTTAGACTTGTTACTGAGTATTTTATAGCTCTCCTTCATCTTTCTATATTTTTAAAGACAGTTTTAAGTCTGTCGTGTATTTCACTTTTGTTTTCTACTAAACTGTTGCTATATACACAAAGCATGGTTAGTGAATGGTAATTCAGTGTTTACTTTGGGAAATAAGGGATATATGAATCTGAGTCCAGAGAGGAATAAGCCTTGTGATTTCACAAAGTAACTGCTTGAAATACTGCTTTGTAGACAGACTTCTCTAGCAAAGACTTTTCTGAGTGCATCTGAAACTATTAACAGCACAGCAAAATTGTATTAATTACTATATTGTTTTCTTGATTGTGACCTCACTTGTTGAACCGGAGGGTGTTTTCTTTTTTTCTTAGAGAACTGCTTAAAGCCCACTTTTACTGCCCTTACATGTGTAGATCTGTATGTAACTGCTTTAGAAATCCCCCCTGTTCTGATGTGACTGCTTTAGGAAGAAGGCACAACTTAATATGAGAAACTTAGGACATGAAAAGTGGACTGAATGCACGTCTCGCTTTTCACTTCTTGAGAAGGAGTGAGTTGCCTTGCTCTGCAGAAATACTATGACCATCTTGTAGCTCACCTATTCTGTATTTGTTCTTGGATATACTGATTCAAGGCTGGAATCTGTTCCGTTGGGGTGTTCGAGTGCTGTTTCCAATACTGACTAAAAGGAAAACGATAGTTTGGCTGTTGTGTTCCCTGTTCGTCCTCTTTCCAGTCACTCAATTATTTGATTATACTCAGCTCCTGCAGTCCTTGTCTATTTCAGCCCAAGATCTCAAAAAATTTTTCTTGATCAAGCAGGCAGATGACCAGAAGACTTTAGTGTGGGTTTTAGTCATACCCAGTATTCTGTGTCAGTGGTCTCCAAAGCGGGGTGTGCAAGTCAATACATTGGGGTGTGAATGAGCTGTTAATAAAATCAAATCACCAATTATATAATCCTTTTTTACTTTATATTTTTGTCTATGTTTTATAGTGTGCATAATATATCAGTACAGTAGTACATGTATATAGTTTCTAAATAAACGGATGTGTATTGGGGGTGTGTTCCCATAAAAGTTTGGGAGACCAGCTTTTTAGATAAACGTGACTGCTCTTGTCTCTCTTCTTTAGTCTATTCTTTGATGTGGGGAGGGAGAAGAGATTAGTCTATTTCCCAATATGAGGAGCAAAGAATTTCAAAAAGTCAACACATATAATGCTCAAATCCTATTTTATGCATGTATTTGACAATTTTATAGTATTTTGATCAAAGTAGGAATGTTTCATTGCTTTCTATTGTGGAAGATATTTCAGTGATAATACAGTAGTTCTGCTGTCGGTGAGGTAGAAAACATATGCAAAACGGTAGGATTCTGTGTTGGTTTTCATTGATCTTCTATTCCTCTCCCCAAATTGTACATCAGACATCTTAAAAATTAAATGTTGTGTGGCAGAGTTTTTTTTTAAATTTGTGCTTAATTTGGCTACATGTGATATTGTTGCTGCTATTCCTCTTTAATACGCATCTCACTGGTGTGATGGTGTTCTAATCTTCATACATGCCCCTTCCTATTCAGGAGCTGTGCCCTAGTAGACATTTGTGACAAATGTCTATGATGAAATGGTGATACTTAACAAGTCTGTTTTCTGCTCTGTTCTAGTTATAAGTTTGAACTTAAATCTACTGAGTTTATCACACCTTAATCACTATGGTGTCTAGTTCTTGGTATTCAAACTACTTCCTAGGGATACAGATAGAGTTATTGAAAAGGTTTCAGCATAAGAGGACAGTGCATTTTCTGGGAAGTTGAAAACATGAAATAGAAACTAGCTGTCAAAATTTGAAACGTATCAAGGAAGGTTTAATGTAATTAATTCTTTATTCATATTTTTGCAGATTCTGGGCCAAAATCAGTGTTTTGTTTAAGGCAAACGCAAACAGATGATGCGACTTTAATCTAGTGTGACTTGTCTGCATGTATTTTCAAGTGCTCAAAGGGAATTCACATTTGATTATTTGCACCATAGTGCACTGCATAAAATATTCATGGAAGTGTCACTTTTCCATAGGTGGCACTCCAGGGCAAAGACAGGGACTTTGGGAAACTTTACATTTATAAAGTAATAAGTATGAAATGCAAGTTGAAAAAAACATATGCTATTTGGTACTGGTGTCCTGCAGCAACTGACAAATCATTTTTAGACCAGCAAAAAATGGTAATACCTGTATTGGTTTTGACGGGGGTTCAGAGTTTGCTAGCTAGGGTTACTATAAGAAGTTTCTGCAAATCAAAAGAGAGTGAGCAATTTAAAAGTATGACATATAGTCTAAAACTTTACACTCTAATTGCGTAACTATTAATACTTAGTATCTGTTGTCTTCACATGCATATCTACAGTAGTAATACACAGTCTAGTTGTGTGAATTGGTCTGAATCGTGTAAAAGTTTTAATGTAGATTCACCGGGGCTTGGGAGAGTCACCCTTTCTCTGAATTTCCAGTTTGAAGCTGATACATTGATAGAGTAATCAACCTATTTGCTTACAAAAATGTTACTTATTTTAAGTAAATGTAGAGACATATTTTGAAAGCTTGCCTTGCTAATCAGGGTTGTATACTGGGAACTAAGCTAAGAATGTATTACGTACTGAAGAATGCATTTGTATCTTGATTATATAGTTTACACCAAATTTCAGATTTGTTTTTTATGCACGATAATATGGAGATTTTGATATCTAGCTCAAAAAAGTGTTTTGCAAACACGAGTAAAAGTAACTCATATTCACTGTGTTAAAAAATAACTTTGTCTACTAGCAATTTCCAAACTAGCCAAGGGTTTCATGTTTTGGATAGTACAGCACAGAACAGGAAGTTCAGTAAATCTATTGTAAGTTTCACAATTGAGAACTTCATTAACACTTAGAGTAAAAATGCAGGATTTTGCATGGCAATTTTAAGGAGGCAGGTTAAAGAGACCAGTCCTTTTTTTTGAAAAGCAACATCTATTTTTAAATGTTAAGTGTCAAGTTTTCATTTTTCTGAAATGCTTAGTGTGACCAATTTTGCCTTGACAGGTATCTTTGAGGTTCTCAAAGTAATGCACGAGTTGGGGGTGGAACTTGATACAGAAACATACACAGACTATGTTTTTAAAAATTTTGCTGATAGTGAAACTGCCCGTGCCCAGCTGAAGGTGAGTTTTCCTTTAAAATTAACAAAAATGACTATTGCATAACTTGTTTTTCTGTGTTCTCTGTGAAGGCTTTAGATCCCAGTAGTGCTCTAAACATGAACTCGGTATGGTGAAGTTTGTTCAGAATATGTATATTACTGCTGAAACAGTTGTTGCGCTGATGGTTTGTTTAATATGTCGTTCTCTGCTGCTTTTCTTGCTGGGTTTCAGAGCTAACCAAAATATTTTGCTCAAGACTTGCTGGCTTTCTGTTTCCTGAAGTGGAAAACTAATTCAGTTACGTCCTTTTTGTACTGAGAATTAGAAACATTACAATTGTTTTGAGTGCTTTCTTTTTTTCACCTTGCTAAAGAATTCAGAATTACAGACTAGGTTTAACTGTCCTGCTTCTTCTGCCTTTGGTAAATTTGTCTCTTGCAATTGATTTCAATACAAAAGCTGGATAATTCTTTATCAGTAGCAACTTAACTAGCTAGCTACATAGACTTCTGTAGAGCACTTTTTATGTTCTCAGCAGCTATCAAGACAAGAATGCCAATGTCCTTTGCAAAGGAAGTATTTCAAAATACGAAGTATCATGTCTTCTCTGTGTGTACTTCCAATGATTGATTGCTTTATCTCTAGAAAAATGACTGCCTGTTTGAAACTGTTGGACTGTCTGTAGCAGAAATAAGATATGAAGCAGCACATGGAAGACTGAACAATGTTCTTTCTCTCTGTAAGTATTTTTCGTGTTGCATGTTGCTACATGCTTGGTGGTACTGTTGATTGGTTGTAGGCTGAGATTTACATGTATTAATTTATGAGGTTTAAAGATAGGTGGGAAACTTGAGCAAAGCTTTTATTACGTGAGGTCTTCTATGATGAGATGTCAGACTGTTTGAAACTACCAATTCTGGACAACATGTCATGGTTAAATTCTTGTTAAGTGTTAAACCTGGCCATGCAAGATATTTATAGTTTTACATGCAAGATATTTATAGATCACAGCTTCTCTGTGACTGTGGTAGGATTATGATCCTCTTGTACTTAGAGGGCTTAAGGAAACAATTTGCCTTCCACGATGACCGAGTTGGTGCAGGATTGTTCTTGCAGCATCAGTTACAATAGGATATCAGTCTAACTATGGATCTGAAGTACTACAGAATTAATAATGAAAGAACCAACTTTAGAGAACCGATTGGCACTGATGTTAACCTGAGGGAGTTCTGCTGATCTGTTGGTCATGGAAATTATGTGTATAAATTTGATGGGTTAATTAGGTGATCAAGTTGCAACATCATGAATTAATCACTTTTCAAGAGTTTTCTCCAAAGGCTGTTCTGATGCTCAGTGCTTGCAGATGTATGGGATAGAATGATTTGCTTGGTTAAGTAGGAATACATGTTTATCTTTAAAATGTAAAATAAATACATGTTTTTATTTGCCTAGTATACTGAGACAATAATAAAACACCAGAATTTAGTCTAAATCTGATACATAAAGATCTCATTTTTAAAACAGTGTTAATTGTCCAAGGTTTAGGGAAAATCTTATGCAGTCTTTCGCTGCAATTGTCATAGTTAACTGCTTTATATAACAAATATAGAAATATGTAGTCTGTACACCATGACCCTGAGAAGCTGTTGCATTGAAAATGAGAAAACTGAGTATTTACTAATCAGTGATTTAATTTCTCTATTAGAGATTTATCAATTAGTGGATCTTTAAGATTCAACTTAGATTCTGCCACTATTTTGTTTCTTATTAAAAAGCAAAAAACAAACAAACATGAAAAATTAAATACCTAAAATAACTTTGAAATTTTTTTGAAAGAGTAACTATTTATTAGGAATAATGAAGTTTCTTCTGGGAAATGAAATAGATGTTTGGGGTTTTTTTTTGCCTGTATCAAAATGTAGACCCACCTCTGCACACTCATTTTGGTTAACTGAAATAGGTTTTAATGTGTTATAAGGCACAAATGTGTGTGCCTGGTATATGGTAAATGTATATCACATCAAAAGTACAATACAGGCACATATAGTAGGCTGCATTCTGTGTTACTGTCATGAAATTAGTCTCACATAGAGTATTATTTAGCTGTTGTCTGTGTGTTGAATTTAAATCTTGTAGTGGTGTTTCTGTTTACAAAGACTAGGGTTAATAATTCATGGAGACATACAAAATTTCTTTTGAACTTGAGCTTTAAAGGAAGCTACTCATGTAAATAGTTTACCAAGCTGAAATGAATGCTAGTAAATCTAATTAGCACCTATGATAAGGCACAGATATTTAAACAGCTGATTTTTTTTTTTTTTACTTTGCTCCTTTTGCAGTTATTACAAAGAGGGAAGAATAGGTGCAGTACAGAAAATAGTTCAAGATGTCTCATCAGTGTAGTTGGGGGGAGGAAAGGTTAGTTATTAATGCTGGTTGCTGTCTAGGTGTATTGATTTAGCTTCTCATGCCTTATAATGTATAGATTTCTGCTACTGACAAGATAAAAACTATGAAGCATCAGCTGAGGAATCTGGGCACATAAGGCAGTGTACATGAGAGCTGCTTTTTCCCTTTATCATGCCGTTCCATTCCACTTCATTGTCAGCCCCTTGATTTTCTCAGACTTGTTTGTTGCTAAGGAAACCAGGTTGCCGATTGTCAGCAGCAGCTGAGCATACTAAGATGCTTTTCTGCTCATCTTTTTATGAGCAAAAAGTTTAATATACCACTGAAGGAGGATTTGTATTGAGGGTTTCTTGGAACCAACTTTACATGAGATTTTCAAACTGAAATAAAAGGTCCAATATTTAAAACTTTCCATTTTCCAAATGCCTGGAGCTAGATTAAGGAGTGTTTTTTTTTTTTTTTTTTTTTACTATGTTGTTCTTGCTTTTTTATTTTCCAGGTTCCTACAGAGCTGGTGTTTTTATTTCTGTTCTCTTCTATCATGTGCAATATTGTAGCCCTTGCTGAAAGGGCCTGGTGCATTCATGTTTCTACAGGGGTTAATTCTATTGTGGTAATGAAGTCAGATGATAATAACTTCATACAGGACTTAAATGCATCTAAACTGTGGGTGTTTTTACTGGACTATGATGCTGGAATGAGAGACAATACTTCTATAGGAAGGTGACAGAATGTCTTAGAATATTTAGTCAAGAAATGATGCAAAGATGAAGATGTAGGGCAGTAACTGTAAATGACCTCTCAGGGACATGTAGTTTTCAGTAATTTTAAAGTTTTCTTTGTGTTCCACCAATATTGTAAATACCAACGTTTAGAATTGTGTATATTCCTCTTTTTTCCCCTTATGTTTAACTTAATTCAGTGGATAGCACTTTAGACGGAGCTACTTTTTCTTTCTTGTCAGGCAGTTTACACCAGCAGAAACAAACACCTAAGAAAGTGTCATCAGTTTTTGGTGTTTTTTTTTAATTAAAAAAACAAATGTAAGGCAAAATTGTAAAACCTGTTTTAAGGCAGATACTTAGTCTGAAACAATTAGCAAGCCATTTGCCTCAGGTGGATCTTTTTTTGTTCCAGTGCTAGTAGCTCAAGTTTTCTTGAATAGGATTGTTTGGGTTTGGTGTTGCTTTTGGGAACATATTTTCTTTGGTCTTGTACTTATTTACAGATAAGATGGTTATTCCTATTACTAATTTATACCAAAGACTAATGTATTATCTATTGACTTTAAAGGCAATGAAGAGGTAAAAAAAATATCTCTCTTTGAGAATATTGATCCCTTTTGAAATGGAGCAGATCTAGAGCTGATAAAACCAGGACTGTTTCAAATACCCTGGTATTTGAAATTTTGATTTACAAATGTGTGTCAGCTTTTATTAAACTAATTAAATAGTTCTTCTAATGACACCCTATTTACACGACCTACCGACTTGTTGCAGTTCAGGAATTTACAATGACTGTTTAGAAACATGTCTTTCATTTACAGTGTCTTCAGCAAGCACACGTCCTGTTGATATTCGTCATTTTAGAAGCAGCCTCATTTGGGGTTTTAAAAGGTAAGGTTGCTATATGAATACCTTTTATATATATTTTTTTTTTCTCTAGCAGAATTCACTCTCTTTTGCCTTGTTGAGCACAAGTCTACACAGTCTTTCTCCCCCACTTTTTTTTTTTTTTTTTTTTTTTTTTTTAATTTAAAAGTAGGGTCCTGGGTGTAGCAGATCTAAGGGATATCTTTGCTTCTCTCTGGTTTCCTTGCCTCTGCTATATATGAGTGTACCTTTGAAGTATTACAAATAGTAGATTAAAAAGGACTTTACTGTTCTTGTTTGTTCTGTGGTATTTGACAGTATATAAACTTCTCAAGGTAGTAAACATTTAGGGTTTTATCTTCATTTGCTTTTTTGTTTATAAACTACAATGCTAATATAAGATTTCCCTAAAGATTATCACTATTAACCATTGACATAAATGGGTGCTTAATGAAGACAAAATACCAGTAGGAGCCAGGCATGTTCTGCTACATCTTACAGCTCTCTGTGCTCTCAGGATTAATGAGTCCTGAGTGCTCACGCTTAACACCTAGTATTGTGCTACATTGCCATGACTTTGTATTCACAGCCATATGGTCCTGTTTCCCAAGGAGGGTTCCTTGCTAACTTGCAAGATTGTTTTAAGCTTACGCAAGTATATGTGAATTAACAAGAATTTCTAGCATTCACTGTTTGCCCTGGTCAAACACTTAGGACTGTGAAGGATTTTTTTTTTTTGCAGCGTACCTACACCACTGGGAACCAGAGAGATCACTTAATACTACTCAGGAGCAGAGTCAGAAGGCTGATTTTGTTGACTAAGTTATTTCCTAAAGTTTTGTAGTGGCTATAACTATGTTTAGATTGGATATTAGTAAAAACTGTCAGGTGAATATGACCAAAATAATTTCCTAGTAATTTCTATCTAGCTGTTTCTGCTTTACCATGAGAAAAGGAATAGAAAAAGCAAACCAGTGTTCAAATTGGGTTTGTTAACTAGGCATTAGCCAACTTTGACGTCCAAGGGACAAGTGAAATAATGTTTTAGATGCAGTAGGGATATTTTACTATGCCTTTTAGTAGTCAGCCCCAGAAGTGTTTGTTTCAGATGTATTAATTACAGTAACAGATTTTTTGAAACACTTTTTCTCTCTGTGAGTGTAGATAAATATTCAGTTAAAGTAGGACTTGCACTAGAAAGGAAGCCATAACAACGTTTACCACGCACAACCAATGCTACCATGAAATGACCCTACCACTGGAGAGTTGTGCAGGTGTCAGAATAGGATTTAAAGTATTTTATGTTATCAGCTTGCATTGTGAAAACTAGCTGCTGAAGAATCATACTCTCCAAGTGAAACAGTTACTCTCCTCAGCAGTGGAGCAGTTACTGCTGTTGTGATTTCAGTAGTTATTGGACATTTGGGCTAAAAACTTGGAATTCTGATGGAAATCAAGTTTGGGTTGTTTTTCGTTGGTTTGTTTTCATGGGGTTTTTTTGTGTTGTTGTTCTGTTTTTTGGGTTGGTTTTTTTGTGTTTGTTGTTGTTTTTTTTTTTTTTTTTTTAATTCAGCTTACTGTTTCCTGTTTCCACCCTCTTCTTGCCACTTATGTGGCATAAGTTTTTTTTTTAACTTCTTCAGTATTAGTCTCTCATTTGTCTTTATTGCTACCTGGCTTTAGAAGCTATGTACAAGGTTGGCTGTGCCTGAATTTCACCCTTACATTGTTTCTGAAAACGTTCCAGTTCATGTTTCCTTTTCTATTTTAAACTTAATGACTAGAACAGCCTGAAAATGAAGCTTGAGGGTATGATAGGATAGAAGAAAAGAGTATTTGTTTATTTGTAAAGACGGCAGCAAAATTTTATGACTAAATTTAGGTCCTCAGTGTTCAAATGGGCAGAGTTTAGGACTGGCATACAAAAGTACAGGGTGTGGACACCAGGGACCCATGAAAAACCTCTGTGGCAGGCTAGTTTATGGATTTCTGTTGAAGCTGCTCTCCTCTAGTAACTACTTCAAAGTATTCCCATTCTGTCTGCCTGATGTACCATTACTATTTCAGAGTCAAGTACTTTAGGAAATTGATGCATTTGATATCTGCAGTTCATTGTCATGCTGTCAGCGGTGGAGCGAGTTCAGCCAGGAAAGCTTAACTAACCTCACAGATAGCTTCCCCTGCCCCCCACCCCATGTGTGGACCTGCATTTGACTTGTTTTCAAAAACAAGTGGCAGTTGCACAAAAAATTTAAATGTTTCATAGGCTTGAACCTCCTAAACAAAATCCTGAACTTTTGGAAATGCTTTCAAGCTTCTGTGCAGCTGTTCAGACTGACATCTTATTTTCCTCATATGAGAATGATAGGAAGATAAAATAAGGCCGTAAGTTTTTGTTCCCTTAGCCTTGCTTATGTTAATGCTCCTTTATAGTTGTCAAAAAGTTCTGTCTTCTAGTGAGAATTTTGATGTTCTACAAATGATAGGAATATGTCAGGTTTTTTATAGTTCAGTGAACTGGTTAACATTTAATCTTTGGTTATAACCTGATGATGTACTCCCTATCAGTGCTCTCTATCAATTTCTGTCCTGTTCTATGAGGGGAGAAATTAGTTCTTTGTTTTGTTTTCTATTTTTAAAAAATATTACCTATTTATCTCACTATAACAAACACTATACCTTAAGAGATTTGATTACTTTATTTTTCGCATGGTATAAATGCATTTATAGCTGCCTGTAGTTATCCGTCTATACCAAAAATCTAAATTTAATGCACAGGAGTCTAGGTTTTTGCTCTAGCAAATTCCACATATCAAATGTTTTCTATGTAAAGTGCAACTTGAGTGAAACTTATTTTCTTGACATGATAAATAGAATGAAGTATAAACTAAAGTACAATTAGGACATGTTAAAAGACTGAACTAAAAATAGAACTAAAACATATTCTTTGTAGTCCTAGTTATGTGTTTGGATTGCTGCATTATTTCAAGTTACCTAGCAGAAACTATGACCATATGCAATACAGTAAAAAGTGCAATATTATTCTGTACAAAGTTGTTTTAAACAGTATCTGACATTTATTGTATTTTATTTAAATAATTTAATAAGATACTCAGTGTTAATGATCTGTGTTGGGGTTTTTTTTTTAATATATAACAGTAGAATCATTTTCTTGCTTTTAATTTGTTATCCTTTGCTGCCCTCTTCAGCTCAAATGATGTACATCTTTGGAGCAAGGTAAGTGGGATAATAATGCTGTAAATAAAATCAAGTTCTTTAGGCACTGCATGTTTATGATGCATTACTGTAAATCTGAATTCTGAGCCCAATAATTGTAGAGCTGATTAATTTGAGCAAGACATGTCATTGGCAGATTGTACAAGTGTATGAAACTGAGTTTTCAAATTGAGCAGTTAAGTTTAATTGTGAAAAATCAAATGTGGTGTTACCATGTAGTGTAGCTTCTTCTACTCCAATTTCTAGATCAGTGTTGTTATAGCTGAAGGTGTGTATATATATTACATATATATACACATATGTAGTATACAATTGTAGCTTCTGGAACAAAGCTTGCCATGGCTGTGCAATCTGACATTCTTTAATTCCCTCTCCTGCCTTCCCTAAACTTTCTTCTTATCACCACACTAGTACTAATAAAATAATAAGGCACAATTAGAATTATAACATTTCTGTCATGTAACTTAAAACATTGAAGGCAAAGCCAGATAAAACAAATCATCTGCATGAAGTCAAGGGGAGATGACCGATCATCTTGCCTTTCCTGGTATGGGCTACATTAGAAAGACACTGCAATATAACTTTGTCAATAAATTTTCCAGAGCACTAGCATACAGGAGATCTTGGCAGATATTGCCTGGGATGTGGTTACAGAATTTGGGAAGGGGTGCATTGTGCTTTTTGTCTTTCTAATTCGATATTGTACCTGCTGACTAATAAACTAGTACATGGCTTTGAGTATATTTTAGATTTTACACAGAAATCTTGGAATGAAATGGAAGTTGTAATTTGGAAAGTCACTGATTAATCATTTCTATTAATCAGGTACAGCTTGAGGTGCAGGTTTTTTTGTATTTTATTATCGTTTTCTGTTGTGTGAAGACTATGGTGAGAAGATGTTTTTGTCCTCTGCCTCTATCCTTCCCTTTTTGCATCTAAAAAATAAAAAGGGAGGGTGGGGAGAGAAAAAAAAGCAGATCTCTTATTACTCCCATTATGAAATTAATTTTGAAGGACAGTCAGAGGACTGAAGTAATGGCAGTCTGTACCTGAAGTATTAGAGTTACTTTTGCTGTTGTCCACAATGGAAGAAAGATACATTTTGTTATCTTTGCTAAATTTATGAGTAAATAAGCGTATTAACCTTCTAAAATAAGAAATGCTAACTTGGGAAATAAACAGATATTTAGCATTAGAAATAATCACACTTTTTTTTTTTTTTGTAATCCATCCTTTTTGTTATTCTCTGAGATTTCATTCAGAACAGCTGTGTTATGACTTTCTTAGATTTTATTGTAGTTGTAGGTTCTTCTGTGTTGATTTGTCATAGGAGGATGAGGGCAAAAGGACAGAAGCAAGCAGTAGTTTAACTATGCGCAGTGCCCGTGGTGTTGGTAGAATCCGAAGTGATAGAGTATTTGTACATCTGGTATTTTCTGACTTTGTTTATCCATTTTCATTAACAATTGAAGGTGAGGGTTCCTTTTTTTTTTGTCATTACTTAATACACACCACTCTGACAGTGGGAATGCACATCCCTCTAACTTCTTTGAGATTGCATTCTAGAATCATGCCAGGTAAAGCAAAATTCTTGAAATATTTAAAATTTCAGTTTTTAACAAAACATGATGTAATTTACTTAAGAACAGTCAAATGGATTTTTAAAGTGATGTAGTTTAGGTTAAAGTTCTTGTAGGTTGGATGTGGGGGCTTTTGAGTAAATGCTGCTTCTCCTCTGATGAAGTAAAATATGTATTCTTTCAGTTTGACTGATGGAACATGTGCTAAATTTAGTGAAATGCAGTTAATTTTTATGGTTGCATATTTTGTCATTCAAAACTGCACTTATTTACAGCAGCTGTACTAGTTATCTTAAATCTAGTACAACATGGTAAATAGTGTTCCCCTGTATTCTTTATATATTTGCTTCTTTCTGAATAAATTAGAGGAAGAGATTTATGAGCCAATTTCAGTCTTTTGGTAAATTATATCTAATAGCTAACTTTCTGTAGAATTATACATAAAAAGATTATTAGAGTGTCTGTCTTAGTGCCATACCTCAGAAAGCATTTCTGCTTGCAATGTTTTTTCAAGAAAAACCTATTATTTACAAAAAAAAACTTCTTTGTATTTCTTAGGGAATTACTATGATGTGGTAAAGAATAATACTTTAACAGAGAAATGCTTTATTATTTTGAGAATTCAATTTCAGATACTATTTGTCCTTGCTTGCTTCTTTTGGCTGCAATGTACGATTATTCTGTCTTACCAGATAACAGAACTGTTGTACAAGGATGAACGTTATTGCCAGACGCCTCCAGGACCAACTGGTAGAGTTTCAATTTCTGTGATTGTAACTTATCCACAAATCCGTTCTTCTGTGTAATGATGGGTTTGAGGGATTACAACAGTAAACGCTGATTGCTTCTTTTCGAAAGTGAAATTTGAAAACATGTTGGGTAAAATCCTGATTCAAATAATCAGAGCATATTTTGCGAGATCCATGAGATCTTTTTTTAGAATTATAAAACAGATCTTGCTGATAACGATTTATTTTTCTGAGTTTAATAACCAAAATAGAGATTTAGAATGAACACAGTATAGTTTTTTAAATACTTTCAAAAAAAAAAAAAAAAAAGACAAGCAGTCTTTCAACCTAGTTTTGCGTTCAGTGGCTCTTCTGATTTTGTGAAGCAAAATGGTACTTAACATCCCAAATCTTCTACCTTGATATAAGTATACTTTTTCTGTATAACCCGTTTTTTAAAAAGAGGAGGTTTTCCCTCCTTGAGGGGGGCTGGAAGGGCAAGGGAGTTTGGGGAAAGCTAACCTTTGAGAAGACAAAAATTGCTCTTCCTCTTCTCAGCCCCAGGACCCCATGTATTTTTGCACTTACATAGATGAGAAACTTATCACTCTTTGCTAAAAACTGTTAAACTTGATTTTCATTGGTTAATAAACAACTTCTTCAGTACTAGTTGATCTAATGGTTAAAGTATTTTTTATGTTTTTACACTAATATTACAGTACTTAACATACCTTTGTAATGGAATATAATGGGTAAAATGTACAGAATAAATATGCAAAGTGTTAGAAATCTGTTTTCTCTTTTGAGCAATGACAAAATATTTGTGGCAACTATTTGGGGTAGCGGACAGGAAAGGGGGGGAAGGCCTTGGGCAGTACCACTTCTGTCACACAGTAGTGGAAAAAATAGATTGAAGTAAGATTCTGTACTGAAAAGCTGTCACTAGGTCTGAAAATAATTAATATTCCTTTCACTCACCAGTTAGATATGTGCTCCCAAACCACATAATCTCTATGCCTCAGTGATCATTGTTGCCATTTCAGAGCCTCTCATCAGGGTGACATCTCACACCAAAATGATTTCTTATAAATTAATCTTGATAACATGACAGTCTCGGTAATTTTAGTGGAATGCTTTCTCTTGTTTTTTTCCACAGAAGCTGTTGGCTATTTTCTTTATCACTTGATTGACAGCATGAGTGACTCAGAGGTACAGGCCAAGGAGGAGCGTTTGAGACAATACTTCCATCAGCTGAAGAAGATGGTACCATTTCATTTTTTGCTACATAATGCCTGTCCTGCCTGACATGTATCTATTAGATTTGAAATTGCTGCTTTTAAGTACAACCAGACCACTTCTCAATGACATGCAAGAGCTGGAGACTTGAATTACGTCTGAGATAATTTCTGTTAGACAAATTTCAGTTTGGTTGTGTTTCAAAACTCATATAATTTTTTCCCCACCTCTTGGTACAGAATATAGTTATCCCTCCAACCCACTGCAGCGGCATTTGCAGACTACTGGACTCCTTTCAAGTTCCTGAATTAATTAAGGTCTGTGGTTCTATAGCTACTACTTTGAAGCTAAAAAATGGAGTATCTGTACTCTGTGAATATATTCTCCTTTGCAAAATAAATATCTTTATGCAGTGATTATATGTAAGCCTTTTAACCTTTCCGTGATTTTTCACCGTTGAAGCTGTTTTTATTTCATATGTGAAAGAGATACATTTAATAAGTGCTTTTTCAAGTCACTGTAATAATGCAGCTTTTTTTAGCATTGCAATTTATAATTAATTTGAACATTTTTAGCATGATTTGCTTACTTAAGAGATTTGAACTTGGGGAGGGATTAGTGATATCTTTCTCTTACTACATTTTAGGATGCAAGGTTACTGTCTCATAAAAAATCCCTGTCTACAGACAACATTGCAGAAGTAAGTAAATTCAGAGATAGTTATGCTTGTTCTTACTGTAATAATAATGTTTGGGTATGAGTTTTAGATGAAGCGTAATCACTAGCTTTCAGATCATGCAAGTATATTAACGTTATTTAAATATACCACTGAAGTTCAGAGGTTACTTTCCAGAGTTAGGAGTAAAGGCTATCTAGGTTTTCACATAGACCTGGTGTTTGACCTTGGAGTTGGCTGAGGTTTCATGCCTCAGTTTCCCTGTCTGGTAAATATTTTTTTTGAAAGTTCTAGTTAGTTAACAGTGGTGATGTGAGGCTTAATTCATGCTTGTAAATTACAGTGATCCACTTGAGTGGCAGGAACCATATAAATCCATACTGCTTCTAATGGTGGAGTGTCAAGTCTTTACATCTCTGATCTGAGCAGAGTGGAGATGGGAAAAGAAACAGGTTTCTATTCCCTACTTCCCTGAACACAAAGAACTGAGTATGAGAGAAAGAGTAATGTTGACGTTTGTAGATATCCTACTTAATGCTTTTTTTACTGCATTCTGACTCAAATCTTCAATTAGTATGTAGTGTTTAAACAGATAAAAGCACCTTAAATGATTAAAAAATTTCTTAGAGTATGAAAGAGGATTATTTTGTCTGTCTTTTATTAAAGTGATCCGACAAGTTGTTCAGGGAAGGGTGTTTTTGCAATTGACATTCTTTCTGTTACCTCCATTTAGAGTGCTAAATCTGACGTGTCTGCTTTGGAGAAGAAACTAGAAAAGCGAAAAGCTGAAAACCAGCCTATTACAGATGTCTTGAAACAACTCATACATGCTCTTTGTGAAGAAGAGGTATCTTAAGCAATGCAGACATAATTGGAAACACATAGCTATATTTTTAAAGGGACATAAATGACTGTATTATGGAAAGACGTAGTTAAGCAAAGACAAGTGCAGTGCTTGAGGTTTCATGGTTTGATGCTTATAAATCAAACATAAGTGCAAAAAGCAATTAAATCAAAAGGTTAACTAATTTCAGCAACACCTTGAATGGCATGTTTTGGGGTTGCTGAAGTTTGTTTACAATAATCTGCAAAGTGAATGATAGTAACAGCTGTGATAGGTTTATCATACATGCCAAATGTCCTTTCAAGCCATGGCTCCGGTCTCTTCTATCTAGATTGTCAAGCAACTGATACATGCACTAGTCATTTGCAATTCAAATATTGCTAGGTTGTTAATGCAGGGATTGAAATTCCATTTTCCTGCAGGAGGAAAGCTCTTCTGAGATAAAGGGTCTCTTGCCTCCATTCGGCAGGCGTCCAGCTGTAGTTTACATTCATTTAGTGTGTGTCTGTAATTTGTGGGGTATCACCACACTTTTATTCAGTTTCTTGTTCAGTATGATCCTGCCTATAAAGCTGTATATATAGGAACCGTAAGTCGTGCAGATGATAGCACAATATTCTCTGTTGCTTTAGAAAGAGTGATTCTCAGCTGTCTGTCTCTACAATTTTGCATATGAAATAAGTCTAGAAGCAAACACCATTGCAAGTTTAAAGTGGTCAAATGTATGAATAGGAATGTATAAAGAAATAAGCTTTCTGTGGGATCATTAAGTTGTATCTTTTTCTTTAGAAAGTAGTTTTTTATATGTTTGGCCATTTACCAGGTGAAAATTCTTATAAATTCCAAGTAAATAAGACCTATTTTAGAATTTAGGTTAATCATCTTTATGGTGTCTGTCTGGATTAAAAAAAAAAAAGTCTTACATTAAGACATGCTAGAAATACAAATGTAAAGCAAGAAAATTTATTTCGAAATCTACTTCAAGTTACTCTAAAATGTGTTTTAGGAAAGTACTAATTTATGCAAAATAAATTTCATTCTTAAAATTTGCTAAAGCATTACATCACTGTATTTTCAGGTATGATCTTATACTACTAAGAACACTAAAGTAGTCATGTAACTATACACTGAGCATGTAAGAATCGTAATGTCATATTGACTTTTCCTCTAGTTCACATCTTTGCTTTGTTCCTTTTTTAGAATATGCAAAAAGCCCTTGAAGTGAAAGCCAAATACGAACCGGACATGGTTGTCGGTGGCTATGCAGCCTTAATAAATTTGTGCTGTCGCCATGATAATGTAGAAGAAGCAATGAACCTGAAAGAAAAAGTGTAAGTACACCGGCACTGAAACATGTCAGAGAGATTTATGCTGATACACAGACCTTGTTGAATTAAGTGGGTTGAGTATTAACCCCCTCATCCATTTTTAATTAGTTTTCCCTACCAATGTATGTGCATTTAAAACAGTCATGGATGTGTTTTTTTGAAACAAAAAATTAGCTTTGTACAACTGAACATTAGAAGCAGCTACTTTGCATGGTCAGAAATTTTTTTTTTTTATTTTTTTAAAAAAGGCAAATTGCTATGTAAAATCTGTTTGTTTTTTTTTTTTTTTTTTAACATACATAGTGTCAAAACTGAAGTTTGGCTTAACTTAAGGGAAAATAAAGTACCTGTATTGTGTGTTAGAAAGCACCTAGAATGTGCTTAGGATATGCTGCAGCTATATTGTCTCTAGAATAGCAGTGTTTCTGAGTGGCGTTATTTTAAGACTGTCAACAAGCATTCTACTTTGAATTTTTGTTTTCAGAGCTTTGTATCATAGCTGTGAAAATTAGCTCCCAACTAAAACATGCTATGCATGACTTACTCCAGAGCAAATTCTTACAGATAATCTGTTTCCCCCTTCCCTTTTTCCCCTGAAAGCCTCCTTTCATTCTGATGCTACAGTGAATATAGAATAAGTTATGTGTTACTTTCAGGTTCTCTCTCTCATATGCACTCACAGAGTATTTGCTTTGGTTTTATAGTAGGTTAGCAGGCAGGTGCTCATTACACCTTGCTAGTGTTTGAAATTATGTGAAATGATTGAGCTATGAATATCAAGCAATTTGCCACTCTTCAAATAACAGTACTGTGTTGGTTTTGGCTGCACTACTGCTCTCACATGATCCCCATAGCAAGCTTGAATGATGGAAAATTGAGTCTTCTACTGGAGCTTCCCTGCAGTATCACATTTTTACTGATCTGCCTCGAGTGTAGCATAATATTGCTAAGAAGTGACTCTCTTGAATTATTACAAAAAGAAACAACAGAGAAGGAATGAATTTTAAAACTTCCAGGAAAAAATCCCAAACAAATACGTAGCAGAGACTTTAAAATAGTAGTTTTTAATTTGTTACTTATAGGCAAATAGTTCCATGTTCTTTGTTGGAAAGAATATAGTCCTGCCCTGGCCTTGTGGATTGAGTTTTCTTCCTGGGCTTCTAGGAAATACTTTATTTTATGCAGTAAGTACCAAATAATTAATTAAACCATTTGGCTCTTTAAATAGAGGTTTGGGGGGTAGGAGGCTGTGTGGATAATATTTTTAAATTGCATCTTAATGATGCATCTTTTAAAATCTATCAGATTTTTCCTTTAATACTTACTATAACTTTTAGCTCTCAATGCTGTTTTTTGGTTTTGCAGCCATAAAAATAAATCTTTAAGCTGAATCCATAAAATGTGACTGTCTGTTGATACAATTCTTAATGTTTTAATTTCTAGCTTCCATAAGAATTCACCTGTTGCTCTTGACACTGGAAAGTACGTAGCGCTGGTAGAAGTCTTAGGAAAGCATGGTAGACTAGAAGGTAATCCATTTGCTTTCGTTGTGTGTTTCTGCTATATAATGAAGGTATCTTGCCTCAAGAATAAAAATGTGAGTTGATATTAATGGTATATCATGTCCTGAAAAGTGCTTGAACATTTTGCATACAAATTTGCATGTGAATTCAACCAGAGATGCTTGGACAGTGCAGGCCATTAGTTTTAATGGATTGGCAAGCTTGTCATTTACATTTGCACAGCTCAGTGCTTTTTGCATTTCTGCAGCTAGTTTTTATTAGCATTGCTGTTTGGATTGAGTTTGAAGATCATGACTTATGGCACAAATTGCGTATGTGCCTAGACTAATGGCTTTGTTTTTGCTTAAGAAGGTCTGAAGGCTGAACATAAAACCTATAAACATAACCTTCTCATAAGAGCCAAGTACTGCAAAAAATAATGTAACTTTTTATAAAGTATATATTTTTCTGTTAGTGTTCTTTTATGTATTTGTTACTGAATTTTAGAGTCAATCTGTCAAACTGCCTGGAAATTTTGACTTTTAATGAGCGTTCTGCAAACTGCCTGTTTTGTATTTCTAGATGTTTGCATTAAACTGTTAGCTCTTTAATTTCTGTAATTTACATGATTTGTTTGATCTTTAAAAGAATTCTAGACTGTCATCAACTTTAAAAGGTGATTCTGAATACCAAGTTCTATGGTTTTGTAGATTTAACACCATAAAAATGTGGTCCAAGCCTACACACAAAATGTTACAGTTTTATACAAAACACTATACAATAAAACAAAAAAGCTAATACATTTCTTTTCTTGTACAATCTTTCTTTGAAATTTGTCTTGACTTCTTATCAAGCTTATTGTTAGAAAAATAATAAGCAAAGCTGATGTTTTCCAAATCATAATAAATCAGATCATGACCACTTGTACATTAAAGCAGTCTGAAAAGATTAGCTTGCTTTTAAGAGCATAAATGTCCCTCAGAAAATAAAACTATTCATAAATGTAGCCAAATGTAAAGTGGCCAAAACATTCTGTCTATGCAATAATTAAGAACATTCTAAAAATGCACTTATTCCATACACCAAAATGTTTGTTTCTGCCTTACTAATGAAGCTTAATGAACCTAATGTTTTAACATGCAGTCTGTTAGAAAGCTTTCATTGGCTCTCCTTGGCTAATTAGTATCGACACAGCAAACAGGCCCTATCGGTATCAGACCATTAGTCTGGCTGTATATACAGTGTAAACATATCTTTATTATCTGGCCTCGTGACAAGCCATCTGCTGAAGAAACAATGGAGTGATTTAGCAGATGTTAGCATTGAACGATAAAAGCATCCATTTAGTAGAATCTTGCAGCTATAGGGCAGACTGTACAGGGTTATGTGGTGCAGAGTGGGCACACAGTTCCTATCTATAATTTGTAGTCAAAGTTGCAGCAAAATGATAAAACCATGCTATTGTGGATTTATAATTGTAGTCTCGTTTAGAAATGCAAGTAGTAATTAACTTGAAATCGGCATTATACACCAGAATTTACATTCCTGCTGGGTTTGAAATGCTGTTTTAATAGCAGTTTGTTTTCCCTACATGAAATTACCTAAGGGTCTTTTGTGTTGTTTCATTGTAGATGCTATTAACATTCTAACAGAGATGAAAGAGAAGGATATTCATATCACAGATAGAACAGTTGCATCTTTTTTCCGCATTCTTAATGCTGCTGCCATGCGAGGTGAAGTTGAAACAGTGAATCGATTACATGAGACGATTGTGAATCTGGGGTTGGCAGAAACTGCTGTTCTTCATTCCCCTCTGATTACAGTTCACCTTGAAAAGTAAGCTATGCTTGGGCTTTAGATGAAACAAGTTATTATATGATATTTATTTGTTATTTGACCTGTGTGTGCTGTACACAGCTGCACATTCATGTTTGAAAGTGTTGATGCATATAAACATGCATGCAAATAATACTTAATTGATCTAGGATTAGTAATAAATATGTTTTCTTAAGTTAGATAAGTCTGTTTTCATCAGTTCTACATTGCATCATGGTCTTTGGGAACAACAGTTGCAGTTTATGGACACATCGGAGATGAAGTGACTATATATTGGAATATGCTTATGAATTAGTTCATTCTAAAGTCTGTTTGATAAGATAGATATTCAGAGAATTATAGGTATATTCTCAGCTCTTGTGGTTAAGTTGTATGTATTTTCCCATCAAAACAGCATTATTTTGCTGTGCCATCCAGTACATGTGTGGTGAGTTGAAAAGCAGTTGTTGAACACTGAAATATTTTTAATTCACATAGTTCAAATAATTTGATGTTATTGCCAATAGACTGCTATGTTGCTGAATTTACAAAGTATTGTCTTGTTTGTTGTGATAATTTTTTTTTTTTTTCACCCATGATTACTTTAAGTACCTTTTAACAGGGAAGAGGAAGTTCATTCATTCTGGCAGGAAGTATCTGTCATTCCATGCGTCACGTTCCTTCGCATAAATTTTCATTATGAGGTGTAGGATATTTGAATAAACGTATGTGTGAACTATATAACAATTTTTTACTAAAATTGTGCCAAGAGACCCTTTTCACTTCCTTTACAACACACACAATCCTTTTAGTTTTTCTTGTGTCATTTATGTAGTTGCTGGATTTTAACCTCTTGTAGCTAGAGTGACTGATCAGTTTCTTGCAGTTTGGTTCATGTATGTGAAATGTTCTTGGCTTAAATATAATAGCTATGAAAAAGTGAATTTTTTCATAGTATTGTGTAAATCAGCCTCAAAGATGCATATTCATGTTTTTGTTAACATGTAGAGTTTTTTAGTTCTTGTAAGTATTCTAGGTATGCAAGATCTGTTTAACACTTTATTCAAAGTTCTTGTCAAAAAGATGTAACTCTTGGTAGATGCATGTACATTCTCTTCTAAAAATAATGTTTTAGTGTAGAGGTCAACAGTTGAGAATATAGTGTACATCTTATCAGTCAGCAACACTGCCTTGGTTGCATCACAGGACGAGTTTATAGGAGTAATTTAACTGCAATCATATGTAACTAATGTGTTGGAAAAATATCTGATATGCTTTGCAGTGTGCAGTAAGAGCAGCTATATTTTACATAATTGCTTTATGCATGTTGATGTGCAGGTTGTACATGGTGCTTGCTACTTGGGTTCTTTTCACTTGAGCTAGTATATGGTGATGTAATGAAATAGGTGTTCATGTGTGGATGCAAAGGACAACAGTAAAGAGTATTATTTTAGTTTGATTCCACATTCTCTTGAATTATAAATGTTTGGTAAAACTTTCTAAAAAGTTTTTTTTTAAATAAAGGGGCTTTTGATGAGACTAGATTTTTAAAGGAGAAAGTAATTCCATTCTGTGGAACTGTATGGCTACAAGTCATTGATACTCACCTGTATATAATTGTATTGTATTTATATATATGAAATTAAGCTCATTCTCTATGTTTTTTTTTTTTTCTGCCCTGTGAGTGGAAAGACTTGCTTCCTCTCCAGTGTTAGACAGAACAGAAGGGAGAAGCTTTTTCCACATAGTTTGCTTGGGAGGAAAAATTGAATTTCGTGGTTTGTTTTTTCTTTTTTTTTTTTTTTTTTTTTTTTTTTTTTATATGCTAAGAGTTTTTGAAAGTTAAGAGTGACTGAAATAAGTGTTAGTCATTTCTTTCAGCAATGCTTACTATTTGCCATCTATTACCTCAAGTATCATGCTGAAATGCTGTCATTTAGCTGCAGGTCGTCAGCATGCCTCTGAAATTAGCACTGGGATGTTTTTTAATGTTCCACAGGAGTGGTTGTGCTAGTGTTTTGTGTTAATTTATTTCAAACTTTGTAATTGCTTGTAAAGGTATGTGGTTTGCTTTAGAAGATTTCAGCAACTGCAGGTGTAAAATGTTTTTATCTACCTCTTTTGGCTGTACTCAGTCCTGACTATTCTGAAGTTCTTGTTAAGTCCTAGTGCATGTTAAAAGTGATAATTTGCAGCAGAGCATGGAAAAGAAAAAATTGTTGATGGTGAACAGTGTAACTTGATGAAAACTAACAAAATCTAATGTTCTAGTAGAATGGGCATTTTGCCTTTAGTATTTTGAGAAAATTTAACTGAAGTAACTAGAGAGAGAACTCATACTGTTTTTTGTTTGTTTTTTGTTTTACTGTGAGTAAATTTAAGGGGAACCACCCCCCTGCTCTTAACTGTGTGATCTTTGTGACTCTGAATAGTTTCTCAAGATGGTGAAATCACATTAAAAATTGAGAAAGTCCACATATGGAACCTTGATCTGTCGTTCAAGGTGATAAACTTGCCTTGGACAGTATGACAAAAATCTTAGTTTCTAAAATCTGCAAGGATGTGAAGAGCTTGTATTTTTTCTTAAAACGTGTCTTACTTCTGAGCTGGTTCTTCCAACTGCTAATAATTGGAAAAGACTCTGTTACCTACACCATAGAAAATTTACTATGATTTTAAGGACTATAGTTTTTGGCTCTTACCTGCTTTACCAACTGTCAGGGAAAACCTATTTGAAGATGAGCCATTTAACAAAACTGAAGAGGCTTGTGAAGCTAACCTGCTCCTGTGCTGTATGATACTTTGATAATACATATTTACAGGATGATAAATTAACAGATACAGTACCTATTGATGCTTTTTTTTTTCTTCCTCCAAGAAGGCTGTACAAGCCAACTTCGTACAACCAAAAACAGGAACATGCATCTTAAAAACTTGATACGGTTCCTGTCTCTTCATTAGCATAAATTTGTTTCTGCTCTCCTTGAATAATATCACCTCTGAGAAAAGAAACAAAACAAAACATGTTCAGGTTTGAAATTTACTGGTTCTCTGTATCAGAAGTGCTCTTAAGCAGAGGGAAGAAAATCTGCAGGTAAACTATGAAAATATTATGCTACAGACTATGAAGAAAATATTTAGTAGTTTTAAGTCAGTGAATGCAAGCAGTTACTATCTGTATTTGAAACTATCAAAAGGCTGGATTATGTTGCTTTAAAAATGGTCAGTGTGTTTTAATACATGGTTGTCCAGTAAAGCATTGTGTGCTGGTTTGTGATTAATCTTACATAAACCCATTTTGCTTTGTTTCTTATGTAGTAGTTACAGTGTGATTCCAGTGCCTTGCCAGTGTTTCTTCTGTTATTTTCATGGAGTTAAATTCACCTGTGGTTTTGTTTGAGATGACTCTGTAGCACATAAAAGTTAACTGACTTGTAAATTTACTTTTAAAAATAGGCGTCTCTTTAAATTAGGTGATATTGTAGTTGGGGGGAAATTATCTCTAGTAGGGGAGAGTTTTTTCTAATTTTTAACAGCTTTATTTCAAATATTTGTGTTACGATGCTTTACGTGTTGCAATGAAACTAGGGATATTTGGCTCTCTTAATCCATTATTGCAATTAGGAATTTAGCATCATCAGTGCCAATGGACAAAAGTGTCTCATTTGCCCTATGGGGACAGGACAGTGATAAGATGATTTTTCGTCAAGGATCATTGGGTCGTAATTAAGTTACATTCATGGCTATTGCTTTTTGAAGGATGATTGGTAAATGACAGGCTTCATGTGCTTGGTACGGACAGTGTTCACTAGGGTTTTTTCTCCCTCTGTCAGAAAATCCTGTTGAGTCTGATAATGTAAATGTGGCATTTTATTCTGAACAAAAGAGCAGGGAAATGAGCTATCTTGTCTAATCATTCAGTTGTTTAACACCGACTTCCAGTTTAGACTCAATTGGCTGGAAAGCACTTGACATGTGAAGTTAGTGCTGTTCGGAACGCATGTTTGAGTAAATTTTAAAGTAAGTGACAGCTAAATTGTACCTAGGGAAATTACAAAGCCTTCAACACAGTTAATTTTTTGGGGAGGATTAGTTGTAATTGCAACACCAGTCTCCTTGAAGATTCCTTAGTATAGCAAATGAACAGAAAAACATTTAGCTCTTTCAAGAGCCCGTTCTCTTTTAACAGAATAATTTTTGTAAAGCTGCTTGTACCTTGCTGAATTGACTTCCCTCTACACTAACATCTGCTTCAGATTTGTAGAGAGGGATTTGTTTTACTAGTCTACCCTCCACCCCCACCCCAGAGAGTCCCTTTTTTCTTTTTACCTCTCCAGTGATTTCAGGTTTGAGAGCTTTTCAATCAGTAAACCCCTTAGGTAAATTGCCACTTCACTAAAGCTTTATGCATAATGTTGCAGCACTTCATTCCAATTAAAATCAATATTTGGAGTCTTATTTTTATCAGGCAGACTCTCTGGTTGGGAAAGTTGTTTATTACAAGTAAAAGGGTTAGATTTAGTGCTACGTTCTTGAAGCACGAGGGGAGTGGCTTGTTGAAATTGAAGGGGGGTTGTTATATCCATGCATGTTATAGCCAGGGCTGCTACAGAGTGTGTTCTACAAACACTCAGACATCAGAGTAATTTTGTGTCTTCAAATAGCTTCGTGTGAGTAAAACTGCCCACACAAATATTTCTGAAGATTGTGCCCATAGTATCTTGGTCTTCATAGGCATCCTAAACAGAAACCAAATTAATCCAAAAATTTATGATATCCTAACTCTAGCATCAGTTTAGTTGAAAAGTAATGCCATAGTAGTACTCTTGCGGGATTGAGTAAGGGCCAAGCATAATACAGTGATGACTGAGGCTCCTCCTGTCATTCAAAAATAATAGTGTATCATCTTTCTTAAAAGAACAAGTTTGAATGAGAGGGGAAAAATATACCTAATCTCTAAGTGGAACAGGTATTAGCCCTGAAGAGATAGTATTTGTTAGTGATTTAAAGCTGTAGTATCTGGCCAACTCAAAATGAAGCATGGATCATCTGTGCTTACATTTTAAATACTATTTTGTCCAAACTGACACTGTAATGAGATTTTTCCAACATGGCTATGAGTATATGGGATTGATTTTCTTTTAGACTTGATCCATATTAATTAAAGAGTAATTATTTAATGTAGTAGTGTAGTACTTTGGGAAGATAAAAGGGTGTTCAACGTGAATAAGTTTGTACCGAAAGACTGCCAAATATTTTAAAATGTATGACTGTTTGTTAGCTTAAAATCCTTATATCTAAACAGCATTTTCTTAAAATGTGGAAAGTCTTTTTGTGCGGTTGGTTTTTTTGTTTGTTTGTTTTTTTTTTTTTCCTGTGGTGAGTCATAACAAGAAACACATTAAAATGTTACTTATACGCAAAATTTGAAGCCTACAGGAAGTTCCTAATTTTCATTCATTTTCTAACAGGATTGTAAAAACTGCTTACAAAAATAGTTGCTGGTACTTACTTCAAATTAACTGCAGTTTGTGACAATTAAGAATTACTGCAGGTTGTTGAATAAATCATATTAAGTAGAACCGTAAGCTTGATAGTTTTTTCTTTGCAGTAGTAGTACAAACAATTTCTTTGTAGAGGCTAAACTTTTATGACTTTTATTGTTTTATAGTTGATTGCCAGTTTTATCACGTATCTGTTTTATAAACCCCATTCTCTAGTAAACTGTGGGTGGCTAGTTGGTTGCTTGAATGCATCTGAACAAATTTATCAGATTTTGATAGATATAAAACAAATGTCTAATAAATCAGTGTGTGAGATACTGACCTGCTTAAATGCAGAGCTATTCAGATGCCTTTGAGCAGTAAGTACCAGAAAAAAATACAGTATTTCCCCTTTTGGTATCTCAGTTCTTTGCTGACATTTTTTCTCTGCTTATACAGTATTAATACCTTCAGAAGTATACATTTAGAGACTAGAAAACTGTTAATGTTCGTGTTTGAATGACATTCCAATTATTCATTCATTTATTGATAGCTTTGACCTAAAAACAGTCACTTTAATCCTTTAGGAATACAGCTGAGACAATACTATGGCTGTTTGAGCATCAATCTGAAAAGCTAGATTTATCACTGAAAACTTTAATTTGAATGTATAAATGTTGTTGTGCCTCCTTAGAAATTGAGTAGTTTCCTGTAAAACTGTTTTTTTTTAGATGTTAACTGAACTTGCATCTAAAGCAGGAGAAAAATACTGATTATATAAAGCTTTATATCTGTCTATGGTAACTACCATAGTATTTCTCTTTTATGACAGTAATCTAGCCTGCAACATCTACTTGCAGTTTTGAAATTAACCTGTAATTTAGTCTTCACCCCAAATGACAAAAATTCAAATGACTCCATGGGGTGCCAGAAGATGCATTGTAAACAGGGCTCAGTAAGGGGGATAAGGTAGAAATCCATCATCTTAGGTTCATTTTCAGAATGCCAGTATTACTGAACAAAATTAATTCTTCTTTATTTTACTCCTTAAAATTTTAAAAATATCAGCCTAGCTGAAGATAGTAATATATAGTAGTCTAGATAGTTCATTCTTTGAAAAGGCAAAATTTTGCTGCACAAGAAATGTAATGTGAGGAGAGGATGTCTGAATTTGGCTGGTTTTAATAGTAACACCTTAATTTGTTGAGATTCAGTTGATCAATAATAAAGTTGCTTCAGGAATGCAAAATCATTATTTCAAGTCAGCTCTATTATGGCCTTTGGCTGATGCTGTTAAGTGATTTTTTTTTTTTTTAATTTGTTTATTTTTTTTCTTTGCCTACCTCCACCACCCTTTATTTGATAAACCTTTTGAAATCTAAAATGCAGTCTTATTGACTGTTTGACTACTTACTACATTTTGTGGCTCTCATCTTGGTTTGTTTCAGTTTAAATATTACCCTTCAAAGAATAACTTCACATATTGTTTTACCAGTGTTGCAGTGGTTATCCTCTGTTGGTTTGGGTTTTTCTGTTTGTTTTTTTTTTTTTTTTGTTTTTTTTTTTTTTTTTTTTAGACTGGGTTGCAAACCTTTGAAAAAGGGTCTGCAGCAGGTGATTTAGTTCTGTTAGTTGCACAGTATAGAATGTTAATTTATATTTGTTGTTAATTTAAATTCTAGATCTGGTTATTTTTGTGGATTTTCAGTTTTGCATTTTGACTATATATGATTCTGAAGGTGTTAATACTGTACATGTAGGGAAAAATTCAGTGAAGGTCTAAGATAACAAAATGGAAATACTGTACTTGTTACTGGTACTTACTGCTCAAAGGCTTCTGTATAAGTGCCTTTAAGGAAGTCAGCATCTTATGTACTAATTTACTAGTACCATGGATATATACTAATGCCATGGGTCCATGTGACATGGATAGGCCAGTATAAAATACATTTTGGTACCTTAATATATTTTGTATTTAATTGCACAAATTACGTTTTTATTGCAGAAAATATACATTGGCTTCTGACCTTTATATAAAATGGAAAAATGCTAGCCTTTCAATTGTGATGAAATGAAAATCAACAGATGATTTATAGCTAGACTGTTAAGGTGTCAAACAAGTATAAAGCAATCTATGTATAATATAATATGCACAATATTACTTATTAACAACAAAAATAGAATTCTTAAATGCAAACAAATTTCGGTGGAGTTGGGTTTTTGTCACACTAATACATAGCAGAATTTAAGGATTTTACTGCAGAAATTAAGTGCATTTGATGTTGAAGAGCAATCACACCTTTGGTTTATTTGTAGTGAACAGTAGTCATGCAATCAAAAAATATACAGCTAAGAGGTTTAAGCATAAATCTGTAGTTCTGTTTTAATTTCTGTGGCTGTCAAGCATACGTGGTATTTGTTTGTAGGAGAATTTTACCTGTTTTTTTAAAAATAACTAGCATATTTTAGGGGGTGGGGGGAAATGCATTCTTGAATTATAGACTGCTGAATGAATTTTCCCTGAAATTTTCAAGACTAAAGTGGGTTCACCATGCACTGCTCCTGCTTGGAATGCTTGTTTTTATTCTTGTTTTATTTCATTACACAAGGGATGACATGCCTGCAGCTCTGGAAGCTTTAATCCACTGTTATAAGAAGTATGGTAAAATTCTTCAGCTTCATAATATCTACTGTAGACTGATAGAAAAAGGAGACGCGGATCTTCTGCAAAAGGGTTAGTTGCATGTAGCCAAATGCTGTCTGGTTATATGGAGTGTTTCTGGAGGCTTTTCTTCCAGGATCTGTATATTATTTCTTTCAACTGAAAGAAAAAAAATACTGTTTGTGTTTATATGTGTAACTTTAAAGCACTTAAATGATGCCTACGTTCTTCAGATTGAAAATTGATATTAATTTGAAATGTAGAAGAATCCAAATGTTTGGATAAAACAGCATCAAGCTCTCAAAGATTAGTGCTAATACTTGTTCTAGCTATATATATTACACAACACGGCAGTAAAACAACACACATTTGTTTTCCAAATAGTTGTACAGTTAAGAAATCCTATAGCACCACTCTCCACAAGTAGAGAATGTCAATATATAGTTTCTCTGTTTTGTTGCATGTAATTCAAAATGTAGTGCAGATAAACATAAAAACATTTTAAACATGCTCAACTGCAAAGCTACAACAAATTGTGTAATATGTTGTAATCATTCTGTATGTTTCAAAATTAATCTCTCTACAGCTTATTCTTGGAATTTTGTGATGCATGGAAAATATTAATATTATCTGACTTGTATATTAAAATACTTCAGTATATTTAGTAAATTAATGAGGTTTATTTTCTCTTTAGTTTCAGATTTTATAAGCAGCGAATATGGTGACATGATGGCTCTTTATGATCTCTTCTTTGCCTTCTTGCAAACAGGAAAATACAAAGAGGCCAGGAGGGTCATTGAGGTGGGATTTTAACGATAGTACTCTAATCGTGCAGCTATTTAGACTCTTAATTAGAAACATTTAAAGTTTTTAACCTTTAATTAGACTTATTCTGATTCGTGTTAATAGAATTCAATCCCAATAATAATAAAAAAACCTCAACGAGCTTTATTTTCTATAATTACAGTTCAGAAGAGACAGTCTTGTTGTATATTGAAATGGTTTCCTCACTTTTTCAAATTTGCTATTACATATCAAAATGATATTTGCATATTAAATATTGGATTGTGGAACAATTAAATTAAACTGGCATTCCTGGGTGTAAAGTTGCTAATCCTCTTTCCGAAGGAATTCTTTGTTCTTAAAAGCACTGGAATTTAATTTGCTGCAGACCATGCTCAGATTTATTTGTAATGCTTGTCTACAAGTTAATCATCCAAACAAGTGCTGTCTGCTACTGTTTGGCATTTAATTTAGCATTTCTTCTCTCTCTCTTTTTCAGGATAGTAAGCAGCTTATAGGAAGTGGTAGGTGACAAACTTGGTCTATTTAGGATTAGTATATTTTATCTAGACTTGATTGAAATTGTGCTTACTGAAATTGATAAGTCAAAGGGGCAGCTGTGGAGTCTGCCCAGATTGTGATTATTTTTCTTCTTAACACAGTTGTATGTTTTTAAAATGCTGCATAACTTTTCCAGTTAATGTGTAGGAGGAGGCATCTGTAGAAAAAGTAATACTTTTTCCTCATCGTTTTTGTTATGTACATACACAAATCTATAATGTAATTTCGGGGTTATTTTCCTTCCTAAAACAAAGTATGTTTTTTTTCCTAATTCCCCCTAGAATATTTGAAATACCAGTTATCCCTACTTAAATTATCTGATAGCATTCTTGCATTTAGAAACTCTTAACTGAAAATCTGCTTGTTTGTCAGTGGTGGAACAATACTGTCCTTCTGTGGGGTGTGTGGAAATTGCTAAGCACAATGTTGAAGCATTGATATTTTTGTTCTAAGAGGGTTTTTTGGAGCTCAAAGTCTTACAGTACAGAAGAATAGAAATATCAGTATCTGACAGAAGATGACACTGAGGACTTGAGTTGTTCTTATAGTGATTAAAGCATATAGGAGGTACAAGGATGAAATCTGATATTTGGAAGAAAATTGTAGCCAAATGAGTAAAACTGGTACTTTGTGTGATTTAGCAGCTGTTTCTTTGATACTGGCATTTAATTTCTCAAAACTTAGATTGGTGGCTGCAGTTCAGCAGTCATTAATATGATAGCAAACAAGCTATCAAATTGTTGGGGCTTTGAAACTTTTGTCATTTTCTTTATAGGTGTAAAGTTATTTCTGCAAGTATTCAGTATTTGGTGATTGATCATAAATTATTAGTAACCGCAAGCAGATACTTGGCCATAAATCTGAACACCTGATATGTGGAGATTAAATGGAACTTTTCCTGGATTTTTATGCTATATAAAGTTGGTTTTCTTGCTCTTACCTAACTTTCATGAAGTATGAATTAGAGCTTTGTGTATACTGTTGAGAAAAAGGGGGTTTAAATTCCAGAATTTTTAGGAGTATAGGAATTTAGCTAGGAATAATATGCATGTACTTTACCAGGGGATAAAGTGGCAGAAAATCAATTATTAAATGGTGTGTTACGTTTTAAGTATGCTTTTACTGTGTAACAGTATGTTAAGTATTTTCAAATAAATTTTTTCCACAGCAGGGGAGGAATCTTAAAGTTGCTATTTTGTTGAAGAAGAAAATAGCTTTTATTGTTTTAAGCCATAAACAAGTTACTATTTGCTTTTTTTGTTTGTTGGGAAGTTGAAGCATTGATCAGTACAATGTGGAAGGTAGAGTACAAGGTGTATGTATAGCCCTTTCTCTAGTCTAGTGGTTTTTGCAACTAAGTTACTTCTCTTGTTGGTCATCTCAGATTTTTTCTATTTTCCTTTCTTGAGAAATAATATTCAGTGAAAGTGATCAATTGGTGCTGCTTTCTCATTTTGGACACTGCTGAATATTAGATTACCTTTCAGCACATACTTTTATCATGTATTGCTGATTATGGTGATCAGTTAATTTTAGTGATGTGATATCTGTTTTGAAAATATCTATGGAGTTTATAAAGACTATCTAAAAGGGTAGTAATGAAGCTGGCAAAAAATTTCCTTAGGAGCTAAGGAAATTAAGATGATGGAGGATATGGTTGTTTAAATGGGGTGTTATTCACTGGAGACCACTGCCTCTGCCTGCTCTTGCTCTTTTTAGAAATCAGAGGTGCACTAGATCCTTATGTGAAACTTAGTGACAACTGCTGCTTTGAAAAACTTGAAACTCAAAGCCCCAGGTATAAGAAAATAAGTCTTAAATCTCAATCTGTGGTAAAATACTACTGGATGATAATAGTGGGAAAGAAAGAAGAGTAAGATTTGAGTAAGATTATAAAAATTAGGTCAGAGCTGTGTTTGTACATTATCCAGTCACAAATGTGTTGTGCAAGCATATATATATATATATATATGCATATATATATATACACATATATATATATATATATAAGCTCATGTTTTGGGATATTGTTATAGCAAGAAGGCTGAAAGCTCTGGGGCTCATCTGCTTGCTGGAAGGATAGCAAGACTAAGCAGAGAATGATAGTATAAAAGTCCATGAATGGTGAATAGAAAGAAGATGAGGCAAAGAATGCATCTGACTGATACTAGAAGTAGTAAACTGAAGCATCTGGAAGTTGGGTGTTGTGAGTCTCTTTTTGAAGAAATGCTCAGTGGAAGATGAGCTGTGATTGAGAAGACTGAGGGGAAATGCAGCTAAATTCTAAGGCTTCACAGAGTGTGGTTGATAAGGTAACGGTTTGCAGTGTTGCTAGACAGCCTTGTTAAGCTTTTGAAAGTCTGTTCTCATTTGTTCTGTGACAGGTAGCTAGAGAAGAAAGCCTCTCTGAGGCAATACCTCCAAATGAAGTAGCCTTGGCTGCTATGTAAAGTAAAAGTCCATTTTATTCTAGCTGTGCCTGGATATTCCTGAGCCCTTGAAGTTATGCTGGTAGATAAATGTGCTGGTAGGTGCTCTTTTGCTTTCCACTGGGAACAAGTTATGCCATTGGGTGCTCTAGTACATCAAAGCGTGATTTAGTCTTCAGTTCTTAATTGCAACTCCACTGATAAGTTAGCCTTTGTCTTGAGTCTTTCAAAGGTGATCATGTCAAAACAAAGTTGGCACATGTCTCTTCTTGCCCCTTACTATAAGGTCATATACTAGCTTGCTTTCCCTTGGAGTGGCACGGCATGATTTCTATGCTATCAAATCACAGGATCATAGAATGATTTGAGTTGGAAGGGATCTTGGAAGTCATCTAATTCCAATTCCCCTGCCATGGGCAGGGACACCTTCCACTAGACCAGTTTGCTCAGAGCCCCATCCAGCCTGGCCTTGAACCTGTCCGGGGAGAGGGCAACCACAGCTTCTCTGGGCAACCTGTGCCAGTGTCTCACCACCCCCACAGTGAAGAATTTCTTCCTTGCAACTAATCTAAATCTACTCTCTTTCCACTTTAAAGCCATTACTTCTTGTCCTGTTGCTACATGCCCTTGTAAAAAGTCCATCCTCATGTTTCCTGTAGGCCCCCTTTAGGTACCGGAAGGCTGCTTATAAGGTCTCCCCACACCCTTTCCTTCTCCTGGCTGAACCACATCAACTCTCAGCATGTCTTCATAAGGAAGGTGCTCCCACCCCTGATCATCTTCGTGGCCTCCTCTGAATTTGCTCCGACAGGTTCATGTCCTTCTTATGTTGCCTGCCCCAGAGCTGGACACAGCACTGTAGGTGGGGTCTCATGAGAGTGGAGCAGAGGGGCAGAATCCCCTCCCTTGACCTGATGGCCACACTTGTCTTGATGCACCCCAGAGTACGGTTGGCTTTATGGGCTGTGAGTGGTCATTGCTGGCTCATGTCCAGCTTTACACCCACCAATACTCCCAACTCTTTCTCCGCAGGGCTGCTCTCAATCCCTTCATCCCCCAGTTTGTATTTGAGCTTGGGATTTCCCTGGCCCATGTGCAGGTTCTAGTTATCTGGAAAGGCAGTTTGAGTATTTTTCCTTCAATTTTGTTTTTCATAAAAAAGAAAGTTAAGTCAATGCATTTTGACTTCAACTAAATCAAACTACATTAAAACCAATGTAGGCTAAAAGAAAGGGATATGGATTTTCAGTATATACTATTAGGGAAAAAGTACCTTCTAGAAAAATATTTTCTTTACCTGTCTTCTACAATGTTGTCTTACTTTGAAAATAGCTAATCAGATTTTGTCTTGGAGAGAGGTCTTATGTAATTCTTCCTATGTGTTGCTCCAGAGCTTCAGGTACTAGATCAAATAGTCTGTAAGAGTTGCTTGGCCTAGTATTCTTTTAAGTCTGGTATATAAAAGGTAAGAGAATTTTCTAGAGCCTAGTCCCCCAAATCCTTCCAGTTCACAGCTTCTTACCTGTTGCTGGAACTGGACAATTGTAATTCCTTTACATTTACTCAGTTGTTAATAAAATGGCAGTCAACCTGACTGGGCTGATGGGTGAGAGCTGGACTGATGTGAAGATCATCCAGGAGAGTGGGAAGGAAAAAGGGAATGTTACACAACCCTGGTGGAATCTGCTTCCTCTCCCTCTCACCTCTTGGTTATTTTGTTTGCATGCTGCATGGAGGTTTGAAGATTTCACTGCTGACTGTGGTTAGAATATAGTTGTTGTCTGTCATTTTGGTCCAACTTTAATTACTTGGTCATACCTGAGTTTTGCACTGAGATCTCATACTTGCAGCTGTTCTACCTGCATGATGGTTGAATATCTTTAGACTTGCCCTTTTTCCTTCATTTATTATTCATCCTGAATGTAATTACCAAAATACTGTCTGAATCTGTGTGTAATTAAGCCAGTGTCCATGCTTGGCTCTTTCTGGTACAGCTGCAAGATATACATCATTAAGAACTGTAACAGT